GTTGATTTGGTTCTTACTCAGGTGTTGTGTTCACAGCTGAGGGGTCCAGGGTGGAGAAAGGGCTTTCGCTTATATTCTTTCTTTTTTTCCCCGGGGAAGAAGATCCTGTGGAGATTCTCCTTGCTCTCGCCCGCGCACTCCTTTTCTTCCTTGGTTTGACCCCTTAATTGGGGGCCAAAGGAGGAAGGGAGAAGAGACGGAAAAAACGATGAGGGTCATTTTGAGAAGGAGATGTAAAGGGAAAAGTAGAGGGGAGGGAAAAGGGAGATCACGGAGGGCTTGGAGAGGTTGGAGTAGGGAGAGGAGGTGAGAGGGCGATCCGTGCTGCGGGACCCAGCTGGCGGCAGTAGGTGGGAGGAGGATTCGAAACAGAATGAGAAGATTAGTGAACTCATGCAATCAGGGTTTGACTTGCATTTTGTCTATTATAGTGGATCATTTAATGAAGGTGTGTAACTTTGAGATTTACAAGTCTCTTCTGGTCCGGGGGGCTTGGGGAAGAGAGAAAGTAGTGGGCATTTGAATAAAACTTAGTGTTCTTCCTTTTTTCTTTATCTTTTATTCTTCTTTCCGTTCTTCTGTCTCTCCCCTGTTTCGTCCAGGTTTTGTTTTTCTCTCCCTTTCTCCAGCCCCATTTCTGCTCTTTTACTTACATCGTTTACGTGTTATGCTATCCTCTTTCCCTGGCCCGCCTCTCTTACCGTTTTCCCCCTTTCCCTCGTTCACCTCTCCCCCTGCTCGCCTCGTTGTTTCTACGTCGGCCTCATTGTTTGACTCTTCTGACCCTCCCTCCTCTTCTTTTTCTGTCTTCTTGGCTGTTGTCTCTTATCTTTCGTATTTCTTTCTCGTTCATTCTTCCTTTTTCGCATGGCTGTTTCTTTTAATTGCCCTTTCAAACTTCTTCCTCCCCCCTCCCCCCCCTTCTTCACGGCAACAGCCGCACCCTCCTGAAATATTAGGAGGTGAAAAAGTAGGTAGTAATGAACTTTGCCTATATATATAGAAATCATCTGCTGTTTTCATTTCGTCCCACCTGATGCGCCCTCCTCCTCAGTCAGGGAGAGAGCGCAGGCGGGGGGGTGTGGGGTGGCGGTCAGTAAATGCCACAAACCCACCCCCCAGCAGGAATGACAGCAGCCACAGATCCGCAGGACTGCTTCTCTCATGTAATTCTCTTTTCTCCTGTCATCCCTCATACGTTAGCATCGGTTAGGAGCACACGCATCCGTACTGCCGCCCAATGTAGAGGGGGTGGGGACCCAGAAGGAGAGGGAAGACAGGACGCGGGAGGAAGAAGGCGTGGATAAGCAGAGAAGGGGGAGGCTATGGAAAGTGGTGAGTGTGTTCCCATGATGAACCTGGGCAGCGGGTAGAGAGGGCGACACAGTATGGGGGGGAGACAAAACAACTGGGGCGGTAGGATCGACAAGACAGAAGAGATATTCATTAGGGAGGGATGTTACGGGAAAAGACCGCAACAAGAAGAGCGAAACAGGACAAAAGTGTGAGTCGCGCTCTCTAATTAGAGCGAAACGCTTCCTCTCCGCGACTAGCTGTGTTTGCCTGGTGTTTGCAGGCCAGAGGGGATTCGGAGTGCTGGCTGGAGCGACAGGCATAGAGAGAGCAGGAAGCGGAAGACAAAAACGGAAACGGAAGAAAGAAAATGATAAGAAGAAATCACAAACAAACCTATATTGTTGGAAAAAATGAGCGTCCCTACAAAATATCCATTCTTATTTATATATTCTACCTAATCTTGTAATTCTTAATATCTGAACACATTTTAACTTCCCCTACTTGGCCTCTCCCACTCATATAACACACCAAACTAATCGACGAGAATGTGACTGATTGACGCGAGGGAAGGGGGAGAAAGGAAAATGAAATCCACATGCCGTTTTTACAGATGTGGTGTGTTTTAGCTATAGTATCCCTCCTAAGGGCCTATGGTGTCGCCTTTCATAGTTTACTCTAGGTCTATACACAAAACATAAACATATTCACGAATAGCTCATTAATATCTTCTCCCCTACCTTTGCCAGTTTGCCAGTTCCTGGTGGGGAAAAGGAGATAAATTAATGAGGAGGAGGATATGTGCAGGGATTCGAATGACGAAGTGAACACAACGCCGGGGCGTTTCACAAGCTCCTTCATGCCAAACCATTTGACCAGCGTCCATCCCGCTACTCATGTTATATCTCGTCAACGGTGGGAGGGCTCCACCACCGTTTGATCCCCCACAGCCTGTCAGGTTGTCCTCGGAGGAAGCCTCAATGTCGGTGTTGAGTTTGTCCCTCTCTCTTGTTTGTATTTCGAATTTTTTAAAGAAACCGCCAAGTAGGTCACCAGTGCTAATCGCCTTCTCCCTAGCGATTCTGAATGCAAAGACAAGAGGAGTTTCCAATACTTTCATATGTCTGTAACATACCACCCCACTGCAATAGCTTCAGTATACAACATTCTAATCGGCGGACGAACGACAACACGCCACAAAAAAAATGCTCTCTTCGTTTGCAAAAAGGGGGTGACCCTAGGAATGTGAGGAAGGGAGAAAAATGGGGAGATAAAAGGAATCAGGAAAGGAGATAGGGGAGGAGAAAAGGCATTAGTCTGAACTAGATAAATGGAGAGAAAAGAGATGAGAAAAATCGGTAAACTTCACGCACTTTTCTAGGCATGAAAGAGTGCAGTAGGGGGTTCGAATCCCACACAGGAAAGCTAGTTATTTCTTGAAAAGGAAAGAGATGCCTGGGTTGTTTGTTGTAGTTGACGTGTCTCTGCTTTGCCTTGCCTTTTCTACCTCAGTTAAAGTTGTTTGAAAACATGTCATTTCACTACTTAGACTGGTTTCTACAAACATGTGCAAATGAAATGAGCCTTGTTGTAACTACAGTTCCCCGTTGGCCATCCATTAACGTGTGAAGACCAAGCACTTATAAAAACGTGGAGCCTCAGAGGGATATGTAGCTACTACCGACTACATATGTATGTTATTTTCAAGAGCGGGGGGGAAAATGAGACCGGAAGAAAAGAAAGAAAGTGGGGTGGGAGGAAAAGGAAAGAAGGGACGGGGTGAAGGAAGGACAAGGAGGGTGGGAGAAGGGGAAAGCGAAAAAAAGTCGGACAGAACAGGGAGGGGCCGGGCGGAGGGGACCGCACAACACGGGCGAGGGAGGACAAAGATAGGTCAGGAGGAGATGAGGGATGGACCACAAACAAAGATGGGGAATGAGGACCCAGCTTGTTTCCTACACGTAAATATGACCTGTGCAGCCACCTATGTTTTACAGAGGGGCCGGGGCTTGTGTCCCTAGGAAAACAGGGAGGCGAGGTGAAGGGGGACTAAACAAGAATGAGGAAAAAAAAAAAAAAAACAAAGGTCCCTAGTTGGTTGTGTCGGACGTGAAAAGTTTTTACGCAATTTTCTTGTTTTGTAGTTTTGTACACTTTGAGACTAACGCTGTGCATTGGTCTCACCCATTGAGTTGCAGCAAGCAATGTACATGTGTGACGTATGTCATCTAACTATGACTCTCAGGCCGTATAATGACACATTACATCGGTTTGGTACCAGCTCGGCTGTTCCCCACTTTATTCAGACCGGTTCATTACAATCATACAACTGAAAAGGGAGGAAAAGGCGGGATAGGAGGAAAAAAGGAGAAGAGGGAAAAGAGAGAGGAGAGGAGAGACGAAAGAAAGAGAGAAAAAGAGAAGAAGGAGGAAGAAGAGAGAAAAAGCTGCGACGAGGTAAGAACAGAAAGACACGACGAAGAAAGAGAGGGAGAAAACAAAAAAAGAAAGCAACACCCACCCCACAACGGTCGACCATCACCCCCACAGACACACACCCTCCAAGCCCCAGAGCGTAATAGCTATAGAGCCGCTCTATCAGATAGACGAGATCTCTCGACCACCTATCTTTCTCTCCCCCCTCTCCTCTCTCCTCTCTCCTGTCTTCTCCTCCTCTCTCTTCTCCTCTCTCCCTCCTCGTCCACCGCCCACCATAGGAATCTTCTACTACGTGACATGGGTCGCTGCAGTGTTCTGTGTACCATAATGCCTCAACATCCTGGCCGGAATAGGGGATAATAAACGGAGTCGAGGTCGGCAGTGCGGTGGTCATAGCTGCCCCCTCATCCTACTCCCGCACAACACTTCCTGGAGCTGGCGGGCTCCTGGGGCTCAAAACACCTCTTCTCCTCTACCTCCTCCTCCCCTTCCTAGCAGTCTCTCTCGCCCTCCTCATGTACAACTGGTACGTACGTCTCCTGCGTGTGTATCCCTGTCATAGTGTGGCGCGTCTCTCGTCTTTCACTTATGATCATTGTGTTGACACATGCATGTATATACCAGTTGGAGTTGGGAGTCTATGGTGGTTTAATACCCCGGTCTGCTCCTACATAATATACTGAGTGAGAGTTTACGTGTGCCATAGCACAGTGGTTTGAGGTTTGCCTTGTGTGTGTGGTGTTGTAGATTCGAACCCCCTACAAGCTGAGTTGCCCTTGTAGCTCAGTTGTAGGAGCACTGCCTAGACTGCAGAGTGTCGTGGGTTCGAATCTCACCCAGGGCAGCTCTTCTTCTTTTGTTTGAAAAGAAGGAGCGTCCTGATATGGTTGACTGGTTTGCTTTGCCTTGCCTTTTCTACCTCATTACCTCGTTAATGACACATGCTCATTCCCATCCCTCCTATAATAACTACTGCCGTACTACTACAACACAGCAAATAAAACTCATTTTCAACAAGCAAAATTGTGAGAGCAGTATTATACATGAGGAGGACGATGTTACATTACTCAGTCTTGTGTCGCATGTGTACCTATCAAGTGTGACGTTGTTGTCATCGGGTTAAAGGGGAAAGTGCACCATTCAGAGAAGCACGTTATATATAGACTCTTCGGTTGCCAATAAGGGATGCTAGCACAAAAAACTGCTTAGTCCCACACATCTGTCCATGGTAATATCATCTACGGTCCGAAATGTCTCTGTTGTATCAAGAAATGCCTTAATGCAGGCAAGTAGTCATCCGTGTTATTATGTATCTAATGTGCCATAGGAGTGTTGTATCTAATGTGCCATAGGAGTGTTGGTGACGTTCGGTGCAAGTTCAGAGAATCACCAGAAGGAGGAAATTCCAGTAGTCATTCAGTGTTGTTATCAAACATTTTCCTAATGTGCGTTCAGTGGTAGTTCATAGGAGTGTTGGCGACGTGGTTACTCTGCCCTCCAAATTACATATAAACTAATGACATAATTATAATTCATGTCTGCTCACATCCCTCGTGGGACAGAAAAACAAAAATGTCGCTTTTCTGTAAAACCAGGTGTTCTTTCCTTCCACTGGCTGTGTAACCCATCCCAAACACTGAACGGGTTCTATACCGACCTTCAACCATTGGTGTGTTTGTTTTACCATTACGGCAAAGTAGTTGCTATAACTCACAAAGTCACCCTGAGAGTTTTGGTAGACCTTGTGTAGCAGAAGTGAAAGATGATTTTTGTCCATAGCAACAAAGCCTTCCCATACCACAGTGTATCCGGGGGTGTCTTCTCCTTCTTTCTCCCTAATGCTGCAAAAGAACATTGTGTCGTTGTACCTTAAAAACTTAACGCATCACTTGTTCCTAACCACATTCCAATCTACACCCCATCACTTTGCCTTCCATTCCTATCTTGGCATGTTCAAATTTGTCGCCTCAACAATGAAAATTTGTAGATTTAATTAATTCCGTACATGTCAACGCACTCACTCGTGTCACGCTCTTTGATGCAACGTTAATTTTCAGGAATGTGCGTTGGTCCCACAGGTATCCGTCACAGGTGTTTGTAGGTGACACTTTCTGCTACTTTGCCGGAATGACGTTCGCGGTGGTCGGAATCCTGTCTCACTTCAGCAAGACAATGCTCCTCTTCTTCATTCCCCAGATTCTCAACTTCCTGTACTCTGTTCCACAGCTGTTTGGTCTCATTCCCTGCCCCAGACACCGCCTACCCAGGTACACATGCCTCTCTAACATATACACAGTCACTCTCTCTCTTCCACTCCTTTTCTCACTGTTCACTATTTTCTTCCTCTTCCCTCTGCCTCTATCTGTTTTTTCCTGTCTCTTTCCTCTCATCCCTTCCTTTTTCGTCCGTCCCTTCCTCTTTCCATCTCTCTCTGCCTCCTTATATACCTACTTACCCTCCCTCACCAACTCTCTCATCACCTATTCCCACTGCCTCAGGCTGAACAGAAAATCTGGACTCCTGGGCATCAGCTGGGCCCAGTTCAATCCCTCTCACCTCTCTCCTCTGGGAAAACTAACTCTCAGCATCCTCCAGACCTTCAGACTAGTGACCACAGAGGCTGCCAGCGAGGAGGGCGAGATCCGCGTCAATAACCTCACCATCATCAACTTCTTGCTGAGACTCACTGGCCCCACCCACGAACAAACACTGACTGTACGTGTGCTGCTTCTTCAAGTAGCCTTCAGCTGGCATTGCTTTCTTCATTCGCTACGGTCTGGTCAAGTTCTTCTATCCCTAGCACACCACTAGCATTGACATAATATCATGCATAATACCCTCATCCTATATAGGGAGTTTTGCACTTACCAGTTTCTTCTATGTTCTGAATTTTTGTATAATTATACGGACAGTATAATATATCTGTGTTTGAGCATTTTGGTGTGTGTGTGTGTGATGGTGATTGGATAATGCAATTAACTTTATGGTGTGGGAGTTTTGTCTGCGAAATTCTAGCTACACTGTCACGCGTCTCGAGTATTACGTCTGTTTCCATTATTGTATTACTGCACATGAGGAAATGCTAATTTTGTGGAGAATGTTTGTGATCAGAGAAAGTGTGTTGACGGAAAGGGAAGGATCTGAAAGTATAGAAAGTGCCACACCCAGGGGATGCGGATAATTGGTTGACAGTGGGAGTAGGTGATTGGTTGACACAGTGGGAGGCCATGTATTATATAATTATATGGAGTACGGAATGCAACGGGGACTTTGCCGGAGAAAGTTAAACCATATTCTGATGTGCCGGGTAATTGTTGAAAGCACTAAACGATTCAATACTGTTTCACTTTCAGTGGTTACTCATGCCAACATTCTATAGCGCACGTCTGCGCATGCGTTGTCTGCGAAGCGTTATAAAACGGCGTCTTTAGCTGCAAGTTCCAGCTCTTTTCCTGACGCAATATCGGTGATAAAAGAATGAATTTTCTCACATCTGCCTTGGTTCTTGCAACCGCGCTTTTTGCAATTGCAGCCAGCGCATCGCCAGATGTAGAAGGTAAGTTGCGTGGCCTGCGCGAGGTACGTAGGGTTGCTAGCGAGTGCAGTGCGAAATACTGGAACAACGAAAGAACCTTTCCGTTGCGGCTATATTATACTGGAGATGGTCTGATTGTTCCATTACAGTCCTAGTGCATGCCTTACAACAGTCCTTTTGCAACCCTGCCTTGATTTGATTTCGTTTGATTTACCATCAGAGTGTTTTACATTGCTACAGAGAGAGAAGCTCTGATTGCGGAGGCAATAGCGGAGGGCAAGGAACATGGAAGGCAGCAGTCTCTTGCAAGAGAAGCCAGCATTCAGCGCATGAAGACGGGCCAGCTCAGCAGCGGGCAGATGGTGGGAAGGCTCTTCAAGAAGCCTACCAAGAGTGCCAGGAAACAGGGAGAGGCCAGAGTCATGCTGGACGACATGGTGCGCCGGGCAGAGAAAAAGATTGCAGAAGCGGAGAGACACAGCGTCGGTACCACTCAAGGAGCCGAAGAAAAGGCCGAGGCGCTGGCAAAGGAGCTGTTCCACAGACCTGGCTCCATGCTCACCAGCGATGAAATTGCTCTCATGACTCAGGAATCCGGCTGCGCCAATGTCAGAGAAGCTCCAACTTGCCAATTTCCCCAGACTGTAATCTACCGTACAATTGACGGAACCTGCAATAACTATAAATTCCCTCTTTATGGAGCTTCTGAAACACCCTTTAGGCGCATGGTTCCTGCCTTTTACGAGGACGGCATCGACTCCCTCAGGGGTGATATCCAAGCTGTGAATGAGGAACAGACTGATGGTATGTTTGCACTCGATCCATTTTCGGCTCCTGCTCCAAGTGCCCGTCTCATCAGCAAGACCATCATCTTCCGTAACGACTCACTAGAGGAAGACGACTTTACTCACCTCCTCATGCAGTGGGGGCAGTTCCTTGACCACGACCTCGACCTCTCTCCAGAACTAGAGGCCGAGTGTGAAAACTGTGAGTTTTCCGACATCTGCCGCCCAATCCGTGTCGCAAGAGAAGACCCTGTGTTTGGTCTGGGCACTCTGCAAAATGGAAACTGTCTCCGTTTTGGCCGTTCCCTGCCAACCTGCAGCCAAGATCCTCCTGGATCATACTCACCGCGAGAGCAACTCAATGCCATCACCTCGTTTATCGATGCGTCCAATGTTTATGGGTCAAATAAGATGCATGGAAATGCAGTCAGGCTTTTTGAAGACGGACTTTTGAAGGAGGGGGAGCCAGCGTTGCCAGGACAGAAACCGGCTCTTCCAATTGACAAGGATGACATCATGGCCTGCTTGAATGCACAGAACTGCTTCCTTGCAGGCGACGTACGAGCCAACGAGCAGATTTCCCTCACCATAATGCACACTCTGTGGCTCCGTGAGCACAACCGAATTGCCGGTGAGCTGAAGGAGATCAATCCCTTCTGGGATGACGAGAGGCTGTTTCAGGAAGCCAGGAGGATTGTCGGTGCACTGCTCCAGAAGATTACCTACGAAGACTACCTGCCCAAAGTCATGGGCCCCACAGTCTTCAACCAGCTGATTGGACCCTACCCTGGGTATGACCCACGTGTTGATCCTGGTGTTCCCAACAGCTTTGCCACAGCTGCCTATAGATACGGCCACAGCCTGGTGCGCCCCGAGTTTGCACGACTTGGTTCCAATTTCCAACCATTGCCCAAGGGACCACTTAATCTTGTGGATGCCTTCTTTAACCCAGATCAGTTTAAGCTCAGCATGGGCACTGACCCAATATTGCGAGGATTAATCACAGAAAATGTACTGAGGGCTGACTCTTTCATCAATTTCGTTCTAAATTCAAAACTGTTTGAAAGGGCTGACAAAGGGTTACCAGGAATGGACCTGGCTGCACTCAACATCCAGCGAGGTCGCGACCACGGACTACCGACACTCTCTGTCTTTGCCAACACCTGCAAGCGCAGGTTCCCTTGGCTCCCTGACCTCGGAGTGTTCCAGCAAGAACTGGACACCATTCGTTTCTTGCAGCTTCACGGCTCTCTGAACGACGTGGATCTGTGGATGGGAGGACTGGCTGAGACCAGACTTCCAGGTTCCTTCATCGGCCCAACCTTCGCCTGCATCTTTGGCATCACCTTTGACAACGTGAGAAACGGAGACCGGTTCTGGTACGAGAATCCCGACCTTTTCACACCGGCTCAATTGCGACAGATAAAGAGGGGCTCCTTTTCTCGTGTAATCTGCGACAACTCTGACAACATCAACCGAGTGCAGCCAGATGCCTTCCTCAGCAACCAGACCCGCGTTCCATGTCGTCAGATACCTACAGTCAACCTCAATGCCTGGAGAGAGGCAAACTGCTTTGCCCGTGTTAGAGTCGCTGCAATCCCCTCCCCTCTCGAAATTAGATTGTTTAGTCAGCGGCAGCGCAGAAGGAGACTCTCAACTATCTCTTCCTCCACCGAGGTTTTCGGTGCGAGTCGGGACCCACAGACAATGTGTATGACATTAATCTGTCCTACAGGATCCGATGTCACAGTCCTTGTCCAGTCGAACGGGACAAGCATCACTATTACCCCCAACCCAACCCTACCCGAAAATTTTCCCGGCATAGGCTCTAATAACTACCTTGCCGTCTGGCCAAACAATGCATTTAAACCCAAGAACGGGCTTTTCAGGGCGCAAACACCCTGCGAGAACCCCAACACTCAGCCCAGCAATGTCGCCATTGACGTTTCTATTACCATGCCCAACCCTGACCGCGTACAGCAGCAGATGGAGGGGACAATGGACGATAGCGAAATTAGGAAAAAAGAGTCGGAACTGTTGTTTGGGAGAAGTAACGAAGATGATGAAATGCCCGAAGATGATGAAAATCCCGAGGCTGACGAGAACGATCAAAATCTGATGGCTCAGCTGGAGGAGGCACTGCAAGACCTTGAACTGTAGCTGGCCGTTTAATTCGAGATATTTTAGCATATTATGTAGCATAATTTCATGTGGTGAAGTAGGGGTGTGGAGTGTTGTTCGTAATTACCATAACATCACACGTTATTTTCATACCCAAAGAGGTCAGGAGTAATGTAAGCGCGTAAACGCTTGCATGAACAGCTGTAGCACATTATCATACCCCAAAAAGGTCCCCCGGCGGGACGCACGGGGCGTCCAAGGGAAGGGGCGCAAGGACCAAGGAGGACCACCTCGATGCTTCTTCAGTTGCCACTGCACACTATCTTTGTTCTCAGCATGGGAATGACTGACAAGTGTATATTATCAATTATTGCATAACACCTAATGTTTAGGTTGTGTTTCATTGCCGCTGTGCAAAATAGTACCGCTTTTCCACGTAACACCAGGCCAGTATTATGCAATACTTGTGTCTCTTATTACAAAAAGTGTGAAGTAAAAAAATCTAAGAATACAGTAGCTGGCAAACACACACACACTGGGGGAATATTATTAAAGATGGTGGGGCATTAGTGTCTGGAGATTAGAGAGCGAGGTTCTTGAGGGCTTCCTCCAGCTCAGCAGTGAGGGCTTGGTCAGAGGCAATCTCTTCCTTCTCTGCCTGCTCTTCGGAGCCGCCGTCATCAGTGCCCTCACCGTCTATGTCGAAAAAACGTAGGATCTCATCTTCCTCTTCCTCATCGTCGTCGCTCTGGGCAGCTGCAAGTTTTTCGACCTCTGTCCGCATGGACAGATCGAGAGCAAACACGTCGCCAGCTCTTTCACAAGCTTCGCGACTTCTGAAGACTCCATTAGAGGAGCTGCCAAATGCTGCTTCAGGCCAGACTGCCCGGTAGCGATCGACTCTGTCGGTGAATTCATTGCCGGCGAGCAGGCTATTCTCTGCAAACTTGACCTTTTTCCCTATATTCGTGGAGAACAGTACGCGAGTGCCTCTTGCGGTCTTGGGGCAGGTGACTGGCATGCAGACAAACTGCTGCTGGGCAGCCAAAATTTCTTCTACCATTGATGTGATCACAGAGGTGGTCTGGCTGAAGACTTGAAGGAAGATGGAATCGATATCCTGCATCTCAACCTTGACACGGGCAAAGCATGGCTCCTCTTTCCAGGCATTGAGGTTGAGTGAAGGTATCTGACGAGTCTGACGACACCCAACGCGGGTCTGGTTGCTGAGGAAGGCATCTGGCTGCACTCGGTTGATGTTGTCAGAGTTGTCGCAGATTACACGAGAAAAGGAGCCCCTCTTTATCTGTCGCAATTGAGCCGGTGTGAAAACATTGGGTCTCTCGTACCAGAACCGGTCTCCGTTTCTCACGTTGTCAAAGGTGATGCCAAAGATGCAGGCGAAGGTTGGGCCGATGAAGGAACCTGGAAGTCTGGTCTCAGCTATTCCTCCCATCCAGGGATCCACGTCGTTCAGAGAGCCGTGAAGCTGCAGAAAGCGAACGGTGTCGATCTCCTGCTCAAACGCACTTCTGGGCAGGAAGGGGAATTTGCGACGGCAAAACTCGGCAAACACGGGAAGCGGAGGAAGTCCATGGTCGCGACCTCGCTGGATGTTGAGTGCAGCCAGGTCCATTCCTGGTATTTTCTGTTCTGCCTGTTCAAAGAGTCGATTTAGTAGAACGTCATTGATGAAAGAGTCCAACCTCAATGGAGTCTCTGAGATCAATCCTCGTAGTATGGGGTCAGTGCCCATGCTGAGCCTAAACTGATCTGGGTTAAAGAAGGCATCCACAAGATTAAGTGGTCCCTTTTCCAATGGTTGGAAATTGGAACCAAGTCTGGCAAACTCGGGGCGCACCAGGCTGTGGCCATATCTATAGGCAGCTGTGGCAAAGCTGTTGGGAACACCAGGATCAACACGTGGGTCATACCCAGGGTAGGGTCCAATCAGCTGGTTGAAGACTGTGGGGCCCATGACTTTGGGCAGGTAGTCTTCGTAGGTAATCTTCTGGAGCAGTGCACCGACAATCTTCCTGGCTTCCTGAAACAGCCTCTCATCATTCCAGAAGGGATTGATCTCCTTCAGCTCACGGGCAATTCGGTTGTGCTCACGGAGCCACAGAGTGTGCATTATGGTGAGGGAAATCTGCTCGTTGGCTCGTACGTCACCTGCAAGGAAGCAGCTCTCTGCATTCAAGCAGGCCACGATGTCATCCTTGTCAATTGGAAGAGCTGGTTTCTGTCCTGGCAATGCTGGCTCCCCCTCCTTCAAAAGTCCTTTTTCAAAAAGCCTGACTGCATTCGCAATTACCTCATTTGATCCATAAACATTGGACGCATCGATAAACGAGGTGATGGCATTGAGTTGCTCTCGCGGTGAGTATGATCCAGGAGTATCTTGGCTGCAGGTTGGCAGGGAACGGCCAAAGCGGAGACAGTTTCCATTTTGCAGAGTGCCCAGACCAAACACGGGGTCGTCATCAGTAACGTGAATTGGGCGACAGACCTCGGAAAACTCACAGTTTTCACACTCGGCCTCTAGTTCTGGAGAGAGGTCGAGGTCGTGGTCAAGGAACTGTCCCCACTGCATGAGGAGGTGAGTAAAGTCGTCTTCCTCTCGTGAGTCGTTGCGGAAGATGATGGTCTTGCTGATGAGACGGGCACTTGGAGCGGGGGGAACATAGGCGCTCAGTGAGAACAGGTTACCTGTCTTGCCCTGGATATCACCCCTGAGGGAGTCAATGCCGTCTTCGTAGAAGGGAGGACAGAGACGAGTGAATTTCGTTTCTGAGGCTCCAAAAAGAGGGTTTTTAAAATTGTTGCAGGTTCCATCGATGGTGCGAACAAAAATGTTGTACAAGTTCTGGAAACATTTTGGAGCTTCTCTGACATTGGCGCAGCCGGATTCCTGAGTCATGCGAGCAATTTCATCGCTGGTGAGCATGGAGCCAGGTCTGTGGAACAGCTCCTTTGCCAGCGCCTCGGCCTTTTCTTCGGCTCCTTGAGTGGTACCGACGCTGTGTCTCTCCGCTTCTGCAATCTTTTTCTCTGCCCGGCGCACCATGTCGTCCAGCATGACTCTGGCCTCTCCCTGTTTCCTGGCACTCTTGGTAGGCTTCTTGAAGAGCCTTCCCACCATCTGCCCGCTGCTGAGCTGGCCCGTCTTCATGCGCTGAATGCTGGCTTCTCTTGCAAGAGACTGCTGCCTTCCATGTTCCTTGCCCTCCGCTATTGCCTCCGCAATCAGAGCCTCTCTCTCTGCAAGCGGTAAAAAAAGGCAAACATAAATAGCTAGAGGCGGAAGTAGCTAGCCAGGTAGCTAGCTACGTATATAATTATAGCTAGCTCAATGTAGTAACTAGCCAAAATAATTTTTGTGCTGCAAGTCAACATGCGTATTACCTTCTCCAGAGAGAGCGGCCTCGGCAAGGACTGCGGCAGTCGCCGACACGACGAGTAGTAGAAGAACTAGTTGCATACTTGCGCGTTCACTTTCTGCAACTCCGCAATGAAACTTGCTCGATAATCGTGCAGTCCCATTTTTATACTACGTAGCTCGCGCGCGCGCAGCTCGGCCGCGGCGCCGCGCAAGCAACCGCGATGCCCACAATATTGTTACCACAACAGTGCTAATTTTCACATACCAACTCCTAAACACCCAACATTCAGCCAGCTATTTCACACCATTCACTCAGCTATTAAATATGCATCACATCTTCTTCTCTTTTCCCTAATTATTCAGCTGCACACTTCTGGCCAACTTTAATATTGACATCAAATCACTTGGAGTTCCTTTCCGCCCAAGGTATCATCGGTCACCCACTGGCATAGTGGTGGTGAAAACCCGGATGGGTACAATCCCAAACTGGGTTGCTTGGTTTTTTTAAAGAAACATTAGGATACTTTCTCTCTCTACAAACAGATATTATTAGCCTCACTGATGGCTTATCAATATTAACATCTTAGCTAACGTCCGTTTTCTATCTAGTTGCATGGGCTTTAAGAAAGTAACTATTATGCAAACTAAAAGTACCTAGTGTGTGTGTCTGCAACTGAAAGCACACAGAATAAAAACCACAGGACTTCATAAGCTGGTTGAAATTAATTATCATGTTATAGCTGTGGACCAAGACACAAGTCCATTTCTCAGTTTTCACGGACATGACCATCACCCCCTCAACGTAGGACAGATAAGGGCACTATTGGCCAACAGGTGCTGTCTCTCTCCCACATCTCTCAGTCACATCACAGACCTGAGACCTAGAAGTATATCTTATAGTGTGGGGGAGTGGGTGCATAGTATAGTGGTAGTATGTGGGAGCATAGTTACCATAAACACCCAGAGCAATTGTGCTTTCCCAAATACTGCCAACCAATTGGGGAAACAGAACTCTTCCAAGTTTGTCTTACTACGAAACCTGAGCGCTCTTCATAATATCCTAATGTGGTGTGGGTGATGGGGCAATTTTCAAGAACACCTTCTGTGTTTCTGGCCATTTTTGTGGATGGAGCGAGCCTAGACTGACTAAATTTCCTGCCTATTATTTCTCGCTCTGCCTACTCAGCTTCCGGGCTCCATACTTGTAAAACTAGACGTTCTTGGTCTGTTTGCACCTAAACATCAAGTGATGCACTTTATATTATTATAGTTATCCCATAATGGCAGGGCACATGACTAGCATCAGTGATTCGTGCAGATTACAAAGTCAAAACCAGATTAATGTGCATTATATTGGTGATGGCACTCACACAAATATAAACCTACGATGTATTGATGAGTATACACAGGCACACATTATGCAAACAGGAGTTAGTAGTGATTTCAGTAAAGACGTGTGACACGCTTAAAAAGTTTCGAAACTATGAGTTCAACCTTGAAGGGATTTGAGGGCATCCTCAAGATCAGACATGAGCTGAGCATCTGATTCTCCGTCGCTCTCAGTAGGCGTGGCCTGTGCCGCAGGAGAGCCCACGCCAAACAAAAGATCCCTGAGACGATCCGGTACGGTAGGTATCAAACTGCCACCATTGGTCTGTTGCTGAGCCGATGCACCGAGTCCAACAGAGAAAGCTGAATCACTTCCACCTTGGCAGGCACTGAGCGAAGTGAATATTCCACTTCCGGCCTGACCAAAGAGTGGCTGTGGCAGGGAGGCGTAGAAGAAGGGAGATTCGAATATGTTAGTAGGGAGCATAGAATTGGGTGTGAGTTCTAGCTGTGCCTCCGAAGCGAAGGGGAAAAAGACGATTTCTTCCGATTGTCCCACTTTGGGACATTGGACGGCGATGCATTCAAACTGGACAAGGGGACTGGCTGGAACCGACATGTTGACAAAGGAGAACGAGCTGAGTTCGGAACGGAAGAAGTTCTCGAGCCCAACTGGGATGTTTAGGGGAAGTACTCTGACGCGGAAGTAGCACATTTCCTCTCTCCACAGTTCGAGGTTGATTCGGGGGATCTGAGCGCACGACACACGGTGTCGTCCGGCAAGGAAAACGTCTCTCTGGATCGTTGTAATGTCATCGCCATTGTCACAAATGACGCTGGCAAAAGTGTGCTGCTGGATGGATGCAAGTTGATCCGGTTTAAACACCCCTGGTCTTGAATAGTACAATCTGTCGCCATCTCTGATATTGGCGAAGGTGATGCCAAAGAGACAGGCAAAGGTGGGACCTAGCAGCGAGCCGGGCAGCCTGTCCTCGGAAAGGCCACCAATCCACAGATCAATAGTGTCACTAGAGCCGTAAATCTCCAAGAACCGGACGAGAGTGAGCGTGTTTTCAAAGGTGGCAAATCCCAGATTTGGGAAGACGGTCTGGCAGTAGCGCTGCCATGCGATGTAGGGAGGGAGTCCGTGATCGCGTCCACGCTGAATGTTGAGGGAGGCCAGGTCAATCTGCTCACGGAAGAGACTATTTGTGAGGGCTGAGCTGAGAAACTCATCCACACGGCGGGCATTTTGGGTCACCAGACCCCTCAATAGGGGGTCGGTGCCAAAGCTGAGGCGGAACTGGTCAGGATCGTAGAAGGCGTTCAGTAGACTGAGGGGTCCTGCGGCAATGTTTTGGTAGTTGGAGCCCAGTCTGTCAAAGAACGGTCGGATGAGGGTGTGTCCATATCTGTACGCTGCAGTTGCAAAGGCATTGTTGACACCAGGGTTGATTCTAGGGTCGTATCCGAGGTACTCCCCGATGACAATGTCGAAAACTGTCTGACCCAGGATTTTTGGGAGGTAGTCGAGGTAAGTTATCTTCTGGATAATGGCACCAACAATTCTCCTGGCCTCCTGGTAGAGTCGCTCGTCATCCTGCGCCCAGTGGGGGTTGATGCGTGCGAGCTCACGGGCGATGCGGTTGTGCTCACGGAACCACAGTGTATGCATGACGGAGAGTACCACTTGCTCATTGACTCTGAATTCACCAGCCAAGAAACAGCCTGTGGTGCCCGGGTTTGGACAGCCAATCAACGGCTCGCCATCTTCCCTGAAATTGTCCCCTACAGCGATACGAGGCAGCTCCGGTTTTTTCCCTGGCTGAGCAATCCCTTCCGTGAGCAAGCCGCTTTCGTTCTTCCTTATCCTTCTGGCAAGCTCATCGTCTGAGCCATAGATCATGGAGCCATCGATGAACGACGTGAGGACGTTAACTTGCTCTCTGGCTCTAATACCACCATTAACCAGCGGTTCCTCGGGATCTGGACAAGCGGCAAGAGAGCGTGAGAAGGAGAGGCAGGCACCGTTTCTCTCTGTCCCCTTCCCGAAAATGGGGTCCAAATCGGCAACTCTGATCGGTCGGCATATTTCAGTGAACTCGCACTGTGCAGCCCTCTCTGGGCACTCGTCTTCCAGTTCAGGCGAGAGTGAGAGATCGTGGTCAAGGAACTGTCCAAACTGCATGAGGATGTGTGTGAGGCTCTCGTCCTTGCTGACGTTGCGGATGACAGTCTGGCTGACGTGTCTGGCGCTGGGGTTTGGGGGCTGGAAGGGCGAGGAGCGGAGAATATTTCCCAACTTGTTCTGGATGTCTCCCCTGAGCGAAGAGATCCCGTCTTCGTACTGAGGTGGGATGAGACGAGAGAGCGGAGTGTCGGCAGCTCCAAGCAGTGGGTTCTCCAGGTTGTTGCAGGTGCCGTCAGCTGTCCGGAAACGTACATTGAAGGGAGTGAAGCAATTCAACTCCTCTGCGTCTTCCCTACCCACGCATTCACTTTCAATCATCATGTGCGCCAATTCTTCCTCTGTCAGCAGAGACCCGGGCCTGTGAAAGAGATCTGTGGCCAGTTCTTCTGCTCTTGCCTCCGCACTCTGTGCACCGGCTTGGGATTTCCTCTGTGCCTCGGCCAGTTTCCTCTCTGCTCTGTGGACCATGTTCTCAAACAGCTGACGGGCTTCGCCTTGTCTGCGCGCCTCCTTCGTGTTCTGTTTGTAGTGCCTGGGTCTGACTTTCTCTGGCCCCTCCCTAGCTTCTTGTGCCTTTGCTTTTCTTTCGTCCTGTGCCTCCGTAGCGTGTGTTTTTGCAGCTGTGACGGCTTCTTGGACAATGGCTTGCCGTTCTACAGGGAAAAAAGTTTTTTCATGCATAGAAACCTGCAATATATTATTATTGAGTACTCTTTTGTCACAGCGTTGCCAGCTATAATATGGACGCGTATAAACCAACGCACGGGACACCGCACCGAGACTTGCACTCAATTGTGCGTGGGCCGTGAACTAGCGGAGATGCAACAGAAGCCGGAGATTTCAAGAACTGAACATATATTTTACCTTCACTGGTCACATACTGGGCTGTCACCGACGCCACAGCAACGGCGGCGGTAAATAGGAGCAGCGAGAGACGCATACTGCGGCAACTGATGCTCGATTCGACTGATGACAAGTTGCAGCTTGCTTGCTGCGGAGAACGGGTTTGCTAGCTTTTGCACCGACTGTGCAGCCAAATCTGCTGATACGAAACAGGTCTGGCTGTGGTGCATTTTATAGGTCTGGAAAAGGGAATACTTGCACAATGGAACATACAACTTGTCACGACTGCAAATCCGGTCCCTTGGGAGTAGGAAGAACGCTTTTACTACACTGTTTCCATATTCTAACTTGGGGTATTCCATGTGCAGTCACCGCAAGGTAAGTCAGTGCATGCACCGAAACGTGTAACGGAGGAGACGACAGGCCTAGCTGTCATGCTATCCTACTAGCACAGCTAGTGGTCGATCTCCTGTCAATGTGTTTTGGCGCAAGTACGCGCACGCATGCGCATTTACGGGGGCCGCTGAGGAAATTTATAGCGGGCTGTTCTGCAGATTGTATTTGAGCGCACATGCACAAGCATTCAACTACGCAGCCAGTACACAGACCGACGGATAGTTCGAAAACCGCGAAACGAATAAGCGTAGGTGCGGGAACTGATGGTTGGCAGTTGCAGGCAGAACCCCAACCTTAGGTATATACGGACCGCGTTGATGTTTTTAGAGACTCGGTTGCAAGCAGCCATTTCCAAGCATTACCAGTTATACCATTGTGCCATAACTTGAATAGGAGCTATTTGGCTTTTTCGAAATCCAAGGAATATCTGGAGGATTCAAAAATGGAGTTGAAAAGTAAGAGTAACTGGTGCAGGATAGAACAATAAAGCATGAAGCCAAACTGTATATCGAATTGTAGGATTTCTATCTTTTTCTAATACCTCGGAAGAAACACACCTAGGAGAGATATAGGTCGGCAATTTTGAACAAGGCATCTGTCACCCGATTTAAAAATAGGTTTTATTTGATGCAGGCGCCATTTGGCAGGGATGTAGGACTGAGAGAGGATGAGGCTAAATAGATGGTGAAGAGGCTGTATAAAGCTGGAGCACAGAGCTTCAGTAACTTAAGATCAATTCCACCATAGCCTGCATGTATGCAAGGGTGTAGCTCAGTGCTTTAGCTAGAACCTTGTTCAAAATTTGAAAAGATTGCTTGTTATAAAATTATGCGTTGCTATAATATAGCAGCCAAGTCGCGCAACGTTGCAGTGCGAGATCATGCATGCGGGGTAGGGGGAGACCCACTTATTTGCTATGTCGCAATCGCAGGAGCAAGTGACTGTACATTATAACGCACGCTGTTTTTGCAGGCGTGGGAGCATTCACGGTGCACGAAATAAGAGAAATTCGATCATGATCATCAACAACAGCAACAACTGGTTACAATATCAATGTTGTGGTAACAATAACAATGGGCTATGATACAAAGTGTTTTTGAGGGCAGAGGATAGAGTTCAGACATCGAGAGATTTGAGCGCAGCCTCTAGGTCAGACATGAGCTCAGCGTCAGCATCTTCCACGGCTGTGACGGTCGGAGGTTCCGGTGTTGCTTGAAGTTTTTTCTGGAACTCTAAAATGGCCTTTGCCAAGTCATCTGGAATATGTTCGGTTGAGCTAGGGTCGGCTGGGTCTTCATCGTTGGCTTGTGCAATGAGCGCCTCTTGTTCGCTGGAGATCTCCTGGGCCGAGGAACGGAAATCAATGGTCAAGGCAGGAGTATTGTCACTCTCACAGGAAGCAAGACTTGTGTGCACCCCCGTGCCACTGCCGCCAAAGAGTGGCGGAGTCCAGACTGCGGTGTAGGTGGGCTGACTGGCGAAGCTTACAGGGATCAGAGGGTTGGAGTTCACTTGGAGGAACCGCCCCAGAATACCTGTGGCTGCTGGGTAGAATCCGACGAGAGTCCCGAAAGGTCCAGGAGTAGAGCAGCCAACAGGCACACAAATGGAGGTAGTGTCAGAACTAGCCGGAATACTTTGAGAGAATAGACTGGCCGGATTCAGGCTAGTGGACCGGATTGGTAAAGCGAAGCGACGAGCGGAGATATCGACGCGATAGTGGCAGCCAGATTCCTGCCATAGTCGGAGATCGATTCTGGGGATCTGGTCACAGCCAACACGTCTGCCTGTTAAGAACACGTCCTTTTGGACCTCTGTTATACCGTCACTGTTGTCGCAGATGACTGCAGCAAGGCTGTGCTGCTGTATCGAGTTCACCTGTGCTGGCTCAAAAATTCCTTCAGCCTTGTAGTAAAACCTGTCACCGTCTCTGATATTGGCAAAGGTGATGCCAAAGAGACAGGCAAAGGTGGGACCTAGCAGTGCGCCAGCCTCTCTCCTCTCTGCCAAGCCACCTATCCACAGATCAACTGTGTCTAGAGAGCCGTAGACCTCCATGAAACGGAGGAGGGTGAGCGTGTTCTCGAACTCTGCGGGAAAAGTCAGCTCCGGGAAGGTCTCCTCGCAGTAGCGCTCCCAGGTGGGGTAGGGTGGGAGTCCGTGATCGCGCCCGCGCTGTATGTTGAGGGAGGCCAGGTCGAGGTGAGTGCGGAAGAGGTTGCTGGTCAGAACGGAGGTGAGAAACTCGTCGACTCGTCGGGCGTTTTGAGTAATTAAACCTCTGGTGAGTGGATCGGTACCGAAACTGTTACGAAACTGGTCTGAATCAAAGAATGCTTGTGAAAGCTCCAGAGGTCCTGCGGCAATGTTTTGGTAGCTGGAGCCCAGTCTGTCAAAGAACGGTCGGATGAGGGTGTGTCCATATCTGTACGCTGCATTTGCAAAGGCATTGTTGACACCAGGGTTGATTCTAGGGTCGTATCCAAGGTACTCCCCGACGACAATGTCATAAACTCGCTTCCCTAATATTCTCGGGAGGTAGTCATAATAGACAATCTTCTGGATGATGGCCCCGACGATTTTTCTGGCCTCCTGGTAGAGTCGCTCATCGTTCCAGCTTGGGTTGAGTGTGGCAAGCTCACGAGCGACTCGGTTGTGCTCACGGAACCAGAGGGTCTGCATGACAGTTAGGACGATTTGCTCGTTGACTCGGAACTCGCCAGCCAAGAAGCACCCAAACTCTCCCTCGGCGCTCTCAGGGCACCCAACAAACACCTCTCCGTCTTCCCTGATGTTATCGGCTCTTAAGATACGAGGGAGTTCCGGTTTCTTCGTGGGTTGTGCGTCTCCCTCTTTCAGCAAACCTCCTTGCATTAATCTTAGCTTGTTAGCGAATTCTTCGTCTGAGCCGTAGATCATGGATCCGTCGATGAAGGACGTGAGGACGTTGATTTGATTCCGAGGCACGATTCCCCTGTTCACCTGAGGCTCATCGGGATCTGGGCATGCCCCGAGAGAACGCGAGAAGGCAATGCAGGCACCGTTGTTGGAAGTACCCGCTCCAAACACGGGGTCGAGGTCTGTGACCCGAATGGGCTGGCAAATGTCGGTGAACTCACAGTGCTGGGCTCTCTCGGCACACTCGTCTTCCAGTTCAGGCGAGAGTGAGAGATCGTGGTCGATAAACTGTCCAAATTGCATGAGGATGTGCGTGAGACGCTCGTCTTGGGGGATGTCCAATATAACAGTCTGGCTGACGTGTCTCGCACTGGGATTGGGTGGCACAAATGCGGTAGTGTTGAAAAGTCCACCCTGCCTGTTTTGGATGTTGCCTCTCAGCGAAGAGATGCCGTCTTCGTACTGGGAGGGGATAAGACGAGGTAGCGCAGTGTCGGTAGCTCCGAGCAGCGGATTATCGAGGTTGTTGCAAACGCCGTCGATTGTCCGGAAACGTTGGAAAGATGGAGTAAAGCACTCGAATTCTTCCTCCTCCCTGGCCCTGCACCCCGCCTCCGTCATCAACGTAGAGATCTCCTCGTGAGTCAGCAACGACCCGGGTCTGTGGAACAGTTCACTGGCAAGTGCCTCGGCTCTGGCTTGTGAACTCATTGCACCAGCTTGGGATTTCCTCTGTGCCTCGGCCAGTTTCCTCTCTGCTCTCTGGACCATGTTCTCAAACAGCTGGCGGGCTTCTCCCTGCCTGCGTGCCTCCTTTGAGGCCTGCTTGTAGTGTTTGCTGGTGATCCTTGCCCGGCCTTTTCCGACCGCCTGTGCCTTCGCTTTTATATCCTCTGCTCTCTGTGCAGCATGTGTCTTAGCTTCAGAGACAGCATCTTGGATCAAGGCACCACGTTCTGCAATTGAAGTATAAACAATCTAAAGTGTTTCTTTAGCAGGTTACTTTACAAATCATCCCTTGTCCCCCATGCAGCTAGTTGGGCCTCAAACAATGCACAACAGAAGCCTATAGAAATACAGCATTTTCTACCAAATCGAGCATCCAGCTTCCAAAAGAGGCATTAGTGTACTACGTAAAGGTAGCCATGTATGGCAAAATTACCTGAGGCAGTTCCCCCGCCGCCGTATTGGGCAGTAACTGCAGCCACGGCCACCACGACCAACGCTGCAAGCAACGCAGTTCTCATTCTGAAGATCCACTCCACGTGAAAACAGTGCCGCAGAGCTTAGGAGCTGACGAGTTTCGGGTTTGCAGCAAGCGTGCTCAGTTAGCCAGTGCGGGGAAGTGCTGCGTTTTGTGCGCTGGCGGAGCTCTGGCGCGAGTTTTATACGGCCCTCCGCGGATGAAGCTGAGCCTCATAATGGCTTGTAGAGGGAAGCAGAGCGGTGCCACAAGTTAACACCGGACGCCGAGACAATAGGTTAGCTCAGCCACTTCTTCCTCCTGCGGTCAGCCACACCGTGCAGCTCGCGAATTTGCGCGCTGAAACTGCGCACCAGAGCTGCGCACTGATCAAAGTATGCGCATGCGTAAGGATGCAAAAATGCGAACCGAGCAGGACTATTATGCAAAGCGGTGGTTATGTAACAATTGTACAATGAAAACTGACTACACATCAACTTCAAATAAAAGTGTGCATTGCAATTGCACACTTTTACCAACTGAGGTTGTTACAATACCATATACTGAAACATTTTGAACCTTTTTGCATCCATTTTGGAAACATAAACTAAAGAAGTACTTGGTACAGTGTAAGGCGTGTGTTTTGGCCTATATACCTCCTTTGTATTGCCCCAAAAAATATGTGACAAGTCTGGGTACTGCTGATCAACAGCAGGAGCCAAAGTGATGAGAAACCCTCACATTGCATGCACCTGCTATTATATATACACACAGATTCTTCAACTCCATATCCTGCCACACACAGACAAGGGCAGGATGGAGTGGCAGGATATGAAGTGTAGTAGCAGCCCAGATGGGGCCCTGCCAGTCACCCACACACAGCTTCCAGACCCAGATCAGGTCAAACACCAGCAGATACTTTTGTGGGATTTTCAAGTTTAAATTTCACCTCCGTGAAGTGTGCCTGGGGGGTTTAAAAAATAAGGTCCCCAATAATTCACAATGCACAAATGTCCAGGGCTGCAGGTGGGGCCTCACTACCACAGCTAATGGCAGATAATTCAAAACTATGAGTACACTTCCTTTACAGGTTAGCCACCAGGCTACAGCAGAAATTCAGGGCTCCCCAGACACCCCTGTGGCTGGTCCAAAGAGGAAGTGATATTAATACTGCACTGTGTATACTGACTGCCACACAGCAGGCAAAGATCAGATAGAGGAAAACATATTTGTGGTGTTGGAAGGAAAAGGCGTAAACTTGAAAATTTCATGAGGTACTGTAGGAATCTTCACTATTCACACACTCATTATCAGCATGCCCTGCGTAACATTATATTGCAGTAAGGAGGTTGCTAGGGGGAGATTTTCTGGTTGATGTTGATGAACACAGTCTCACAAGTACACTGTGCATTTTTCATCGCCACGGTTACCTCGCCAGCATCCTGCCACCAAGTAAAGACCCAAGGTTCTACTACAATTGAATTAACATTACCTTAGAAAGAGTGGCAGCTCACTGGAAGTTGATTCCACCGATCTCTTGATCCTTCCGTTTGATTTTCCACTGAAGGAAGTCTACCTAGTATTATAGTCTCAATACAGATTTTTTTCTATATTAACCTGTATGTGGCGTGCACTGAATATACTGTAATACTTTGCGTGATTCTAAATATGCACGCAAACAAATATACGTCGCATTCACTTGCCAAATATGTGTTGCATTCGTTCTAGTTATATCAAACATGCAGTGTAATAGTGAGCATTAACTCCTTTGTGAATCACAACTTCTCGTTTTACGCGTACACCGTTTCTTTATAACCGAGCATGACATTGAAACACAAACCTTTTCTGTACATTACAAAACATTATCGAGACAGAGCTGGTAGTACATACATGTACACACCGCACACACCACGCTGCCACACAACAGAGGAAGAGAGAGACAGGGAGAGAGGGACAGGGAGAGAGGGAGAGGGAGGAGCTGGCCTCAGCTAGTAGAGCCCATTGCATTGAGGGGGTCATCGAAAATGTTTGGAGCGTCAGCATCAAACATGGACAGGTCCTTGGGCTCTGTCTTCTTAGCCTTCTTCTTCGTCTTCTTCTTTTCCTCTGTCTCACCTGCAGGTGACATAATTTTATATGTATCGAGGATAGCTACTTTTATTATGTTCTATTCAGTCTTGCACCTTCACTGAATTGACGAGGTGAGCCCACCCAGCTAGTTGTTCCAATTTTCCCTGTTTGTGTAATACTGTGCTGTTGCACATGTGCAATACTGTTGAATTCGCTAAATGCATAATATGGCAGTGTAACACATCCTTCTTCGTGTATAATGCTAAGTATGTACTACAGCTCATAGAGTGGGCCTCACATTGTGCTCCACACACTAGTACGCTCATGTTTCGAGTTTTATATAAAGTTGTACCTGTAAAGATACCGCACGTGTTTTCTGCCGCGCAGTTAGCACTCGCTCACCAGTATCCGCATGGCTGTCCCCAACTACTGCTGCCTCTCCACTCGCTTTCTTCTTCTTCTTGGTCTTGGGTGTCTTTTGCTTGGCTTCGGGGATGCCCCCAAATATGTCGTCTGTGTTCCCAAACAGCTGCTCGTCCGTCGGTCCCTTGTTGGCCGTCTTCTTCTTCTTCTTCGCCACTTTTGTCTTCTTTGTCTTGGAAGCTGGGTCTGCCGCAGCAGCGTCTGGGGTTGCTTCAACTGAGCTTGAGGAGACTGCTGGTGTCTGGAGTAGAGGATTGGACATAGGAAGGGGAAAGAAAAAAGGTTATGCATGCTGGACACGACAGATAATGCTTGCTTATTTATAAACCGCACGATGGACAAAAGTAAGGTGGTTTGATGATGACATGAACCAGAACCATTTGCATGCTGGACAAAGGGAGATGATGTTGAGGTGTGCTTGCTTCTTTACGAGCCCCCCCAATAAGTTAAATACTCACAACAAAAGGCTAATATTAATATGCAAGCCTCTGCATCAGGTGCGTGAAGAAACAGCTTATGCAAGCATAGTTACTATTGCCGTGCACAGATGTGTCAAATTGAGACCTTGGAGAAATGCAGCCCACACAAGGCATGTGTCAATATTTTCAACCTGTGCATAGAGGTGCTTCGAAATACCACCACAACAGAGAGCATTGTTCTAAAATGTGTCAGGCAAAATAGAATTTGTCTGCTGGTCAACAGTGTAACCAGAGGTGTATAGGAGAGAGGATAAACAGGATGACAGAGTGGACTTAAACCAAACACAAGGCTGGTAAGGAACTTAAATGCTGTGCACAGCATCACATGCTGTGCACAGGGAGAGGAAGTTGTTGGATGACCCTACAATGCAGCAAACTGCTCATGTGGCAACAATACAAAACTATCTAAAACACCGGACATTGAGCTAATAAGTGGTCAGTGAACATTAGGAAGCTCTGTCTACCTTCCCCAGCTACAAAACAGAAACACCATCTTCCCCACAGAAACACCATCTTCCTCAGCTACAAAACAGAAACACCATCTTCCCCACAGAAACACCATCTTCAAAGCTTCACTCACCCATAAGGGGATGTATACACACACACACACAGACATCCCTACTACAGTAACCATACAAACAGTGTAGGGATTTGGTGAGCCCCTGAGAAGGCCTGATAACAAACTTGAGAGTAACTATCCACTTAGAGGAGCTTCCTGTGAGGAGTCCTTAGTGGTTGGTTTTCGGTCCCCTGGATACACTATGGGGTGCCAGTAATGACTTTCATCACTACCTGCTAATAAGCTTTCATAGTTGCTGTGCTTCTGTGTAAACATCACAGCACAACTTCCTCCACTGAAGTATTTCAGGGCTAGTGGTGGTAAGTGATATCCTTTTCCCTTCCTTTCACACCTACATACATATCTCTCCCTTCACCCCATCACCCCTCACCCCCTCCCTCCCACACTTCCTCCCTAGTCTAGTCTCTATTTACCTCCATACATACCACTGACAGGTACAAAACCTTTTGATGGTGCTGGTGGAGTTTTTTTGTTATGGTTTTCCCTTCTACCATCACATTTCATGGTTGCCCCTCAAATTTCAAACCTTGAAATTTATGTGTCCATTTCTCTCTTGTGGCTTGTGCGGCAGAAATGTGCACATATGGCCTTCATCTAGTGTGCTACTCCCAAGCTTCTCCCTCCCTCCCTCTCTACCTTTCCCCTCTGTCCACCTCCTCTCTGCCCGTCTTCCCAGAAAGAAGCTCGTCAAGACTCTTCTCTGGCTTCTTGAGTGGCTCCTTTACTGACGACCCAAATATGTCGTCCTTCTCTTCCACCTTCTGCGATGCAAAGATGTCCACCACAGGAGTGTCAAATACTGACACCGCTGGCTTCTTTGCCACCTATCAGAGAGAAGGGGGAGTGAGATGTGACGAGTGGGACGTGATAATTATGTTCTTTTCTTCTAAGTGTATGTATATACTCCTAAGCTCATAATTCTGTCTCCTGCAGTAGTCATAGGTGGTGTTCCATAGTTAGGACTCTATAATTGTCATGTCATAATGTCACAAGCTGTTTGGAGTATGTGTTAAACGAGAGGGGGCCAGAAGACAGAAAAAGAAGATGATGATGATGAAGATGAAGGAAAAAAAGAGAGATAGAGAGAGAGAGAGAGAGAGATGACGTGCATCTTGTGGACATGCTGGCTCAGTGTGTATATACATACCTGTGTCTGTGCGTGGCTGGTGGGAGGAGGTGCAGGTGAGGGTGTGGTGAGAGAGGGGAGGGGAGGGAAGAGGTCTTCCTTGTCTCCGCCGGCCTCCCTACAGACCCAAACAGACTGTCTTCCTCACTGCCACTTCCGATTGTCACCTTTGTCTTGGTCTTGGAAGAACTGAATATCCCGTATTCCTCTCCACCCTCTGTGGCCGGGGGAGAGAGGGGGCCGTGTGGGTAAACATTTACACTTCAGTTTTTTTTACGAGGGAGCAGGGTGAAATTTCCCCCCTGAAAATGGTTTTGAACTACAATAGCGATAAATCAGTAAAACACTCATGTGAAGGTCCACAAACAAGCAAAATATCTCTTAGGGGTTGTAAATTGCACCCACCGCTCAAACACTCGATTTGTCCCCCTCCCTGATAAAGTTATTGAAAACCCCCGGGAGAGTATGTATACTGTAATTAAAAACAACCCCAAGGCCCCTCAGGTCATCAAAACTATAAAGGTGAAAGTCTTCTTGGAATGATAAATTCTGCTTGGAATGCATATCCTGGGCCCACAAACATGCAAAAATCAGGCTACGGTAAACTTTCCTTCAAATCTATCAACAACAAGGTAGCAGCAGTGATTTCATGGGATATACACATACTGCATGATAGCCATGTGTGAAGACTGGTGTGCCACACTCTAAGGGCTGTGCCTCACTCTGTGGTAACGTTATACTACATCTGTTCAGTTGTACGAGCAGTTCTTACACATGATAATATATCTCCGTTTCCCCAATGGCCATTGTCAGGTGTGAATTAAAAGGAAGTGTTGCCACTATCACACATACATACACACTACCCAATGTATTGAAACAACTGAGGTAATAGTGACAGTATAATCAGAGTGTAGTAAGGGCTCTCTACCTGTAAACATGTCCTTCCTGCTTTGGGACCACTGTCTCTATTAGTTTGTACATGCATACAGAACCTTCTAGAAGCACCCCTAACTCCCACCATTTCTAGTTGCAAACAACTGCTAATCCAATGAAAAGTATTCCACAAGCTGCAGTTGCTCTACAGTTGTCCAGTACTGTCATGTATGTATGTATGTATGTATATACACAAATTTAGCATAAAGTATTTGGGGAAGAACAAATTAAGTAGGAAACAGAAATTTTTTGTAAGTTTCGAGACGGCCACAGCATTCTGCAGAGAGAGAATACCTTTTGCTGTGTTCTAAAAAAACTCTAAATTTATTAAAGTTCTCCCTCAAAACGTTTCTTTTCCCCACGAGGGTGTACATATGCGTGCATCGTATTACCAGGTTTGGGGAGTGGAGGGAGGGAATCAGACTGTGATATGAGATCGGCAAACGGGTCGGCCGGCCTCGTAATCGGGATGCCTGTCCCCGCAGATTTCTTCTTGGTGGGTGTGGTCTCCTCGCCGACTCCACCCAGCGAGGACGTAAGGCTCTCCGTACGGGCGGAGTCCGAGCCACTCCCGGAGGCCCTGAGGGCGTGTCGTGAAGGTGGTCTCCTTGCTGCACCTCGCGACCTCGTCTGTGGACCAGAGAACAAACACACACTTATTAGTGGATGCAAATCTTACCACAATATCCCAGTATATAGAGGAGCATACATACATACATACATACATACTACACCCATTTTTATTGCTGCATAGAAGACAAAAGTAGCACACACTTGAGAAGTAAACAACTGAAAAAGAGAAAGAGAAAGGAGGGCCGAAAGACACACACATACACACAATACAGTCCGTGTATGTGATAGACCAGGGAACACACTCAGAAGATGGCAGTATGTGATAGACCAGGGAACACACTCAGAAGATGGCAGTATGTGATAGACCAGGGAACACACTCAGAAGATGGCAGTATGTGATAGACCAGGGAACACACTCAGAAGATGGCAGTATGTGATAGACCAGGGAACACACTCAGAAGATGGCAGTATGTGATAGACCAGGGAACACACTCAGAAGATGGCAGTAGGAGAACGTATGTAGATGTATGTAGGCTCTCTCTGCTAGCATCTGAACACAGCACAGACACACTAGAAGGGGGAGAGGGAATGCTAGCTGAAGCTCTGAATCGAAGATGGAAGGTTGCAAAGAGCTTCACAGAGAGCTTCACGAGAGATTGGGAAGAACTTCACAGAGAGCCAGGGGGAGAGCCAGAGAGCACCAAAAGGTAGAGGATACACATACAGGGGAAGTGGCCACAGAAGCCCTGGTCCACATCCCCTCACTCCCCCCCATGACACCCAAACATCACCTCCTTACATGAGCATAGCACTGCACCTGACTACAGGAGAAACATTCGCATAAACACCGCACACCTCCAGTCACATGACAACAGAGGCAGACAGGGGCTTTCTTATGCCTTACATACCTATACTAAAGGGAAGCAATACTGTATATACTTCATTGACCTAGTAGGGGACCGCCATACACTGTATTATTGTCACGAGACTCATGTGAGCTGCAGACTAACAGTCACACATCCCGGACTATTCCTAAAGCAGTCACTGTGTAGGAAGGGAGACTCCAGAATCAGTTGGTGGTAGTTTCCAAACATCCGCCATACAAGGAGGGATACCCAGGGAGGGTGAGTTAACAATGCCTCTCTAGAAGGAGAGGTGAAGGCCTGTAATTAGCCCAGGCAGGATGTAACTTGTACAACTTCCTGGTCTCCCCCTAATTATCCCTGCACAGTGAGCTGCAACAGGGCCAAAACAAATCCTTTTGCATCCAGTGACTATGTGTGAAGGAAACTTAGAGTGGGAATCCAAACTGCCCACACACAAAAAAAACGTCAGTTGGCAGCACAACAACAAGACAAGGAAAGAAGTAGAATTTGTTGTGTTATCTCAGCTGTAATCCAGGCCTAATTACTGGATGTTCAGGTGGGTGACAGGTTTACACAGACCAGTTGGGTCAGTTCCAGTCAAGGCTTCCTTTGTGGGGACAACAGCCCCTGGAAACCTCTTCCCATTCTGGCTTACTTTCCTTTTACTTTATTCATTTCCGAGAGAAAGTTAGCTACATATTTCGGCCTTAGTTATTTACAAATCTCTGTGGGGAGTAGAGAGAGACCTCCTGTGGTCCTATGGATTCTCAGTAGACCAGATGGACCCCCTGTGTAGAGGTAAAATTAAACTCAGCTGTCTTGAGGTCCCATACAGTAGGGCTGAAGGCAGGAGGCATGGGAGTGAGCAGTGGGGGGAGGGGGGGTTCCATGTGGGACTGAAATATGGTAACTTGCTGAGCCACTTAGTTGAAGAGGCCAACCACTTATGTAACACCGACACACTTAATGACTCCTCAATTGGAGTATACCAAAGCTACTTAGACCCTCTCATGAATGATGTTCAACCTCAGTTCTGCAGGTATCTCTTAAGTTGCAAGGGTTTCTGAATTCATCACTGAGACTTCACAAATCATAACGTTAAGTGACCAGGAATGAGGTACATACCAACACTTAGCACATATTTCTTATTCCATGAGACACTGCTACAACTGGTGTTCACTTCACTCCTTCTGGTGATGTTGGAGATGCTGGGCATGTGGAGATGCTGGGCATGTGGAGATGCTGGGCATATCACCAGTGCACACTATACACCACATGCAGCCCTGAATTTGCCTTATCTACCTCAGAATTCATCAGGCGATAATTGGTATACCAACTATAGTGGTAACACAAGAAGCCATGCTTTTACTAGCCATGGAGAGGGGTATTGCACAAAATGGAGAAGGAAGAAGGGAGAGAAGGTACGTTGGAAAATAGGGAGAGAAGGTATGTGGGAAAAGAGAGATGGAAAAGGATAGTGAATGAAAAATCAAAAAGGAACAGGAAAAGAAGAGGAAAGATAGTGAGAAAGGGACAAAGGAAGAGGGAGAGATTGGAGTGTGACCTTATTTGGGTTGAGAGATTAGTGAATGAGAAATCAAAAAGGAACAGGAAAAGAAGAGGAAAGATAGTGAGAAAGGGACAAAGGAAGAGGGAGAGATTGTATTGTGACCTTGTTTGGGTTGAAGAGGGTGTGAGTGGTGACTGGAGTGGCGAAGGAAATGGCCTTCTCTTCCTGGGCCCTGTTGGGAGGGGTTGCCCCTGGTAATAGAGCAGCTGGATCGATGTGAAGACCAAACTGTGTAAACAGGGAGAGGAGGAGGAAGAGAGGGGAAGAGAGGGGAAGAGAAGGAGAAAGAGAAGGAGAAAGAGAGGGGAAGAGAGGGGAAGAGAAGGAGGAAGAGAGGGGAAGGGAGGGGAAGGGAGGACAGAAAGGGGATAACTCTGGACTGAATTTGAAATGTGACTAAAACTCAGTGTACAGAGTCACAGTGTGAAAAACGGGCTAAAACACACCTACACGCGCAAGAAAGTAATGGAAGAAGCAAAAATAGTATGCTCTGCTAAATTACGTATGCATATGCGAAAAATACCCTACGAACCGACGGCCATGTTTTCCTGTACAACACAATGAGTGTGCACCGTAGACTACTTGCAGTATGTACATGACACAAGAGTCAGGTGTGAAGAATCAGCATCTCACACACACACACAGCGGGAGTATATATGGAAGTTATGGTCGCGGAAATCGGGAAAACAACGTGATGTGTGTGCCGCCACTGAGTCTGCAGCGACCAAACACAGGTCAATTCAGTGATGTGTGTACGTCTGGAGTCCTACAAGTGACCTCCTCTCTGAGACCACACACACACACACACACACACACATCTACACCTCATGCACCACTGATCACCACCGTGACTTGTACTGAAACAAAACCAACTCAAGTGCCCTGTTCCCAGGCATCACAAACTACCCTGTGAATACAGTTGAGTTGAAAAAGGTGACAAATTTACAGGTATTGCAGTCTTCTCTACATAATTTGTAACTGGTGTGGGTGGGGCAATAGGAAGAGACAACTGTGACAAACTTAAGCTTACCACACACACCCTCGACCTCGGCATGGAGGAGCAGAGTATCTATGATGATCTGTTCACTGAGGCCAGGTCTCGTTCCCATGTCCCCATTCCTCCATTCCAACTCACATCCCTTACATACATTTTTAATCCCTCAACCTTTTGCTATGTTGCATCACGTGTTTGACCTCCTAGACTATAAGGGGACTAGCAAGAGTACTGTCCATTGTACTAACCATACACACATCATGACACATGATTCTATAAAGTATAGTGTGTTCTGTTGGAGTTTGGAGTGAGTATTGAAAGTTCAAGTACAACGAAGTGTCTTCACCATACGTAGACAATAGTTTGTCAGCCAGAGGGCCAGCAGTTGTGCACTATAGTGTTTAGAGTTGTAACCTTCAGTTTGCCGGGAGTGGGTCCAGTGGGAGGAGGACTGAGAGGAGAGGTGAGGTCTGAAGATGAGCCCTGGGACCTCTTTGGCTTCCTCGCCACCTCCGGCTGTGGAAGAAAGAGGGCATTAATAACTCAGGCCTTCAGGACTTTTGGAGAGGCCACGGCCACGGTGATTGAGTTGTGTAGTAATGTTTGTGCAAGCCATGTGTCAACTGCTGATGCCATAAGTCCATGTGTATGTGAGTTGGAAGATGTATATGCTACTATACATGTACATACACTGCTGTGTTTGTGACTGGGAGACTGACCTGAGGCTTTTTAGCTTCAGTGATTGTTGGTAGTTTGTCTTCTTCTCTAGTACTGCGACCAAACAACCCACTGCCCTCTGGGGCAGGGAGGGAGGGAGGGAGGGAGAGAGGGAGAGTGAGGTGTAGATGAAGGGAAGGAGAGGAAAGGAGGAAGGGAAAGTGGACTGTGGTTGGGATGGCGGTATCAACTTACAGTACCTACGTATCAGAAGTCTGAAACCCACTGCATTCAGATTCCCTCCTGTAGTAGGCTACTAGCCACACAAAGATTACCAATTTCCTTTGGTGGTTCCTAGTATTACCTACAAGCCTTGTACATGGCTTATGTTCCCCAAGCTCCCTCGCACTCCCTCACCAAAAATGCATTCTAGTTGTATGACTGACTTACAACCCAGCAGAGAATGGCATGCAGATGAAGGGGAGCCTGTGAACAAGGCTAAGTATTAATTATGAACAATGTCATGTCAACTACACAATTATCTCAAATTACTGTAGTATTAAGTTAAAATTTTGCCCCAAAAGTTTCACAAGGGAAAGTGGATTGGACACATTATCATATGTAGTACACAACCACTAATTACGGGAGTTCCTCACCCAGACCTCTGTCTCCAAGTATATCCACACCTCCAAACAGAGAGACTGCCCCAGCAGGTCTCTTCCTCCCACCAATACCACCACCACCACCACCACTGGGAGACGTGGGTCCTCCAGACCCGAGGTCCTCTTCCTTCTTGGTGACAGAGGTCGTGAAGAGGTCACCCTCGGAGCTCCGAGGCTTCGGCTGAGTGGTGGGCGGAGTCTCCTTCTGGGGCGGGTCAGCCTCAGAGGATCTCCGTGACGACGACTTCGGGTGGGTGGGGGAAACGGGCGAGGTTCCGAAGAGGTCTGTGTCGGAGGGTTTCTTGGATGGCGGTTTCGGCTGGGTGGGGGGAGGGGTGGGGTGGGCGTCGCCCCTCTGGTGGGACCCGGAGGAAGTGAAGACATCACTGTCTGAAGGTTTCCGAGATTTCTTGGGCACTACTCTCGGAGACGGAGATGCCCCCTTCCCTGCAGACGACACCGATGCAAAAAGGTCCTTGTCATTATCCTCCTTTTGATCAGGGGCCAACCCGTTCTGTTGAGGGGGTTCCGATTGTGACGTTGACCCCCCAGAAAAGAGGCCCCCTCCACTGAGGGGGTCAGAGGTTGGAGGTGAGCCGAAAAGGTCAGAGGGAGTCGACTTTTGACTAGTCTTCTTTGTGGCGGGTGGCGGCTGTTTTCCCACGGAGGTCTTCTTTGAAGCAGCTGGTACGGCTGCAGAGGTCGAGACGGTCGTGGAGGAAAAGAGGTCTTCTACCTGTGGCTTTCTCCTTGCCTTCTTCCCTGAGGATGCTGCCGCAGCTGTCCCGGATGAAAACAGGTCGTCGTCCGATTCGTCGTCGTCAAACAGGCCACCCAGTTTCTCTTTCGATGTCGACGGAGCGCTTTCCTTGCTCTTGTCTCGCGGGGTTTCGGTGGCTGATTTGCCACTCTCCCCCGAGTCTGTGACGTGATTGGTGGTGGGTGGTGGAGTCTTGGTGGTGGTGGTGGTGGGGGGTCCGAATATTAGGCCCTCGTCAGGAGGGGGGCTGGGGGAACCAAAGAGGATGTCCGATTTAGACTTTGCTGCAGCCGGTGGGGAGTTCTTCTTGGCCGCCACTGAACTCTGAAGGAGCAGAGAGGAGAGGAGAAGAAGCAGAGAGGGAGAAGGAGAGTAAAGATACACAGTAAACATCACACGCAACCTCAATGTGTATGTACGTATGGGCATGAGGGTCCATGTGTGCTCCATCTTCTCAATGCAACGTTGCAGGACTATCATACCAATGTAGGTTGGAGTTGCAGGAGACTTTTCACATGCGATTAGGTTGTTGCGATGTGCATAATATTATTATATAGAGTGAAATAGAGGAGGAGGATATTACAATAGAGTGAAATAGAGGAGGATTAAGGGATATTACAATGGAGTGAAATAGAGGAGGATTAAGGCCTGCATTTTGTACTGAGAGAATAGTTGAAATAGAGAGGGTGAGAGTATTGACCTTGTTAGGTGGAGCTCCAAAGAGGTTGTCTTCCTCCTCCTCTCCTCCTCCCTTGTCAAACAAGTCGATGGTGTCTGACTTCTTCTGAGAGACGGGCTCGTCGGCCACTGGGGGCATGGCAGGCTGTGAGAGAGCCAAGGAAGAGGGGAGAGAAAAAGGGAGGGGGCAGAGAAAGAGGGAGGGGAGGGGAGAAAGAGAGAGGGGGGATATACAATTAGCTCAGCTAGCATTACCCAGAGGCATTTCTTGAGAGAACATGACATTTGGGGTGAAATTGCTTTTGCAGGAGAATACAAAGTTTTTAGAGAGTATATATACATACTATGTAGCATTACAGTAGGAATCGTTTCCAACAACGTTGCGTTTCACGATTGCCATTCAGTCTCATTGCCATTCCTATAGTACACGTGATTTATAAGTACCGTCTTGTCTTTTGGAGAGAAGAGGTCTGCTGTGTCGTCATGACTACTGCTGCCAAACAGACTGTGGCTGAGAGTGGACTTTGTCTTCTCCTCAACCTTCCCTGAGCTAATTGACCCTGGTCTGAGGGGGGAGGTGGAGGTTGGAAATATACACAAGTAGAAAAGCAGCGTATTATATATAGATAGTACAGACGGATAAAAGTGCTCTGAAAGTTGGCTCTATTTGTGTTGTCAATATTTGCAGTTTATGTATGAATTGTGCACATCGAAGTAACAAACTGCAGAATGCTGTATAATACAATACCTCTTCTTGCCAGAGAAGGCAAAGATGTCATCCTCTCCTTCCTCCAACTCTCCAAACAGACCACTCCCACTGCTGCTCTTCCGTTGCCGTGGCTTCCGGGAGGTGGATGGAGCTTCCTTCTTGGCCCCGCCCCTTTCCTCGATGGATTTGGTCATCTCTCCTAGGAGGTCCACACCGCCAAATATGGACACTGCCCCTGCTGGCCTCTTCACCCTGTTATTATCGGACACAATCATGAGTTTAGTTTAGATGGACACTCACGATAGCAGAAGCAAGGTCAAAACAACCAACTGTGGATTGCTTTCTAACCCAAACAATTTGCAGACAGCATTAGTTGTTTTTTTTCTTCTATGTAATCCCAAACGTATTAAATGCAACAACTGTGCATGCACTCAAACAAAGACTTACTGAGGTTTGGAGGTGGGCGGGGCAGTGGGTGTGGTCTCAGAGGATGGAAGGAGGGAGGAAGAGAACGGGTCCTCTTCTTCGTCTGAGAACAGTCCCTTTGACTGGGTCTTGGCTGGGGCTGGCTCCCCCACTGTCGATCTGGGGGGAGGTGTGTGTGTGTGTGTGTGTGTCCACATATACAGAATAGCTCTAGAAGTGGCTAAATCAATGCTAATCCAGGTTAATGCTTCTGAAAAAATGGTTTGTCCGCAAAAATTGGATACCACCACTCACATATACGTACTACCACACCAAATGAACCAACTGGTTACCACGGACCATTCCCACACTCTGTTCTTCCTCGCTGACCTGTTAGTAGATGTTTTCTTGGCAGAGGTACTAAGGAGGAGGAGAAGAGGTTGTCTTCCTTCTCCCCAAACAACCCAGAGGAGGTGGACGATGGTTTCTTGGCAACCGAGGGAGACCTCTTGCTATCCACACTGTCAGTGAGAGCTCCAAACACTGACACACCTCCCACTGGCTTCTAGAGAGGGGAGGGAGGGAGAGATGGAAGAAGCAGAAGTGGTGGAAGAAAATGAGGTGTACACCGAAGATGCTAACCTTCTTCTTGGGAGCTGGACTAACAGTTCTTCAAACAATCCTCCTCCTCCCTCCCCTCCACCTCCTCCCTCTTCTCCGGTGGGCGTCTCTTTAAACAGACCGCCACTACTTGAGGAGACCTTGCGAGGCTGACGAGGGGTGTTGCCTAGAAACAGACGGTGGGCGGGGTCACAACTAAATCGAACAATTCAACAACCTAACACAGAGAGCATCAGTACACAGAGATATGATTGCATTCGTAAATGCTATTCCACAGCTCGAATAAAATGGGTTTTCACCAACCGACTGGCTCCCTCCATTGTATGGTTTATGGCTTCCGTCCGTAATACTGCACACATACTCTTTGTCTACATATTCTCCTTTTCTCTTATAACTCACATGTCACACTATGAGAGAACACTATTTTCTCACCGGTGGATCTAGTGCTCTTGGTGGTGGAGGCGGCCATCCAGCTGTCGTCATCATTATCGTCTCCAAACAGACCTCCCCCTCCGGCCTCCCCAAACATTGGGACAGCTCCCGCCGGTAGCTTCTTCTTAACTGCACACAGGAGACACAGTTGGCTACAACCACCGTTCATTGGTACATATACTGTGTTGCATCTATGCATGCATGCATATGGTAGTATATATATGAGATGCATGTGAAGTTTGCTAATGCAGGCATGACCTTGTATGTAGATTGATATTGAATCTTCAATGTTGCATGAAGAGCTTCGGTAAGAACACATGACACCAGACAAACACTGTGTGTTACTCTACGATAAGTAACCTTTCTTGCTGCTAACACTGGACTCCACGTCAGCCTCCCTGGACGCAGTCGGCAAGCTCCTCTTACCCCCTCCCTCCTCTCTCTCCTCCTCCTCCTCTTCCTCCCCCTCAACCTCATCAAACAGACCTCCTCCACTGCCCTTGCTGTTGAATAGCCCACGTCCCTTCCCAAACAACCCTCCCTCCTCCTCCTCCTCCTCCTCCTCCTCCTCCCCCCTCTCCTCCTTGTAGGAGCCAAACACGTCATCATCTCCTGTGTACAGCAACAGGAGAGAGAGAGAGAGAGAGTGTGTGTGTGTGGTGTGTACTTGTACTAAGAGCCAGTGCTAACATAATACCTAAAGAGCCAAGATTCTCTCAACACAACAACAATCGAGGACTGTGGCTGGAAGCTATCCCATCAGGTATGTCGGCACCTCACTACTGCCCCTCTCTGTGGGTGGGGATGCTATCTGATTGAAACAGAGCTAATGTAGGACTGTGGGCCATCCAAGAAAGTACCTCAATTATTGACCATCACTGGAGGCACACTTTAACACGCCACGGAAGTCTATATAGTGATTCCTCAAGCTTCATGTAGTGCATACACTAGTCATGGTGTGCGCTGGGCTACAACATTTGGTCTCTCTTATGCATTTACAACTTCGTCCAACTCATAAAATTATGCAGCACAAAGCAGCAAGGAAGACAACACATTTTCTCACCTCCTCCTCCACCTCCTCCACTTCCTCCTCCACTCTTCTTAGAGCCACGGGACACCCGACTGCTGGTCCGACTGCGAGAACTGCTCTTCTTCAACCCCGACCCCGTACTGCTCGACTTTCTCATCTTCTTCTTCTTCTTCTTGCTCGTTTTCTCTGAGCCACGTCTCTCTCCTCCCTCTCCCTCCTCCCCGGGTGTGGTCTCCCCACCAGGGACCTCCTCGGCAGGCTGGACTCTATTAGCCAGCTCGGCCTGGAAATCAGTCATCGGTGGTTGGACACCAGTCTGAACAAACAGCCCGAGAGAATGAGAGAGAGAGAGAGAGGGAGTGAGAGAGGTTGTTATTTTTATATACAGCAGTTGTTGTGGGGGGAGGTGTACTTGTGGTAGGGAAGGTCGTTAGCTAGGCCTTTGTTGTGTTAGGAGCTTTACTGCGGCAGTACAGAGGAGGTATAATCAGGCTCTTTAGCTGAGGACATGAGTAGGTATGGCAGCCATGTGTAGGCTGTTGGCACGAACTGCTTCAGCATGCACAGGCTATATTTCACAATGTGTGTACGTGCATGTGTGTGGGGATGTGTACATGTATTTGTTCGATATCCCTAGGCAACCGACATGTACTAGGTACTAGGGGATTATATCAGCCTATGCAATCCTCATGTGCAAGAAGGGTTCATACATGTCGTTTGCCTAGGGATATCCAACAAATCTGTTGCAGTGCCCAGACAGGACAGCATTCGCCCTTACAGGGTTCATGCTGTCCTGTCTGGGCACTGCAACATTATATCAAACCTGTTTGTGTGTTTGACATGCAGCGAATGTTCTTGAAGTGCACAACACCAGCACATGAATAAAGAGTATGTATGTATCAGAGAGTGGATTGATACAGGCTTACCAGGAAAGCATGCAGCTGTACAAATTGGTGAGCAGCGTGAGCTCATATGGCCGTTGTTACATGGGCCGACTGCAATGGCTGCAAACTAGCTACACTCTTCCCTGTACACAACTTACAGTATCTTCTTCTCCAGAGGAGCTAGTCTCTCCCTCTTCCCTGTCTCTCTCTGTCTCTGTCTGTGACCCACTCTCCTCCTCCTCCTCTCCCTCCTCCTCACTGTCTCCAAATAGCCCACCACTGCCAGCCTCTGACCCAGACTGGACAGAAAGACATGGACTACTGGTTGTAACAGAGACTAGAGTGGGAGCTATGTATACTAGAAAATTGTTAATTTTGGTAACGTTTTATCCTCATAACTGGGACATAAAAACATTTATAGAGAGGTGTCTTTTGTTTGATGAGCCCAGTTCAACTACTGTGCAGTGTATGTGCTTCAACTTCATAGGGACACAGCACAGACAGATAGACAGACGTACACATACATACATAGAGAGAGATGATGACTCACCTCGATAAGACCTGTGGCACTCTTCCCAACTCCCTCCTCCTCCTCCTCTTCCTCCTCCTCCTCTGTTGTCTCATCGTCGTCATACAACCCTCCTCCTCTTCCTACTTCACCTGCACACACACACACACACACACATCATCACATTACATACACATTCCAAGAAGAATGTACTAATCTTCATGGGGGGTTCACACAATATTCTTTCTTAATAAGGCTCTTTTTTACAAGGCACACAAAAGTGGCTGCTAATTGCAGGGGCTTACCCTCAGAGTCAGAGGCATAGTCACCCAATCCAATGTCCTCCTCTTCCTTGAAAGCAGCTGTCCCGATACGGAACGGGAGGGGCCGAACTGCGTACGCGTCCTTTGGAACCAGAATGGGATCGTGCGTGTAGTCCTCTGCGCTCTCTTCAAACTCGTCCTCTGAGTCTGTGGTCAGGTGAGATCATGTGATGTCATGAGGAGGTCACGTGACAGTCAGCTGACCTGGCGTGTTGGGCACCTCGACCTTCTCGAAGGCATCGTCCAAGACTTTGAGTCCGCAGTTGAGAGCCTCTTTGATTCTGTTGGCCACTTCTGACTGCCTCTCCTCTCGTCCCTTCTCCTGTGAGGGAGAGGGGGAGAGGGGGGAGAGGGGAGAGGGGGGAGAGAGGAACAGGGAGGAGGGAGAGGGACGGATACAGAAAGGGAGGGAGAAGGAGGGGAAAGAGAGAGGGACAGGATGGGATAAGTGCGGAAAGTGGAAAAAAGTTTAATATCCTGATTTCATGGAAAGTACTGATGACTGTTGTTAAAATATTCCGCCAACTGCATTCTCTTGAGACCAAATGGTGTCAAATCAAACCAAGCAAAGAGAGAGGGCCCCAGACTATATATCACATCATACACATTACATGGAGACAGGCAGCTAGACAGACAGGCACCATAGATGTCAAAAGGTGTATTACATCACTATTACATCACAGTTTATAGTAATTAACACGCAGGCAGGCAGTGTGGTTTCTGACCTCGTCCTGTGGAGTAGCCTCCTCCTCTTCCTCCTCTTTCTGTGTCTCACTCTCTTCCCACACTCTCTACAATTCAAACACATTATACACAACACTCCACATTTGCAGTGGAACCTCCAATAAGGGACCCTCCGAGATAGGGACGACCTCACTAGGAAGAACACTTGTTTCAATCCTATGCTAATACTTTATTGACCTCCGAGATAGGGACGACCTCTCTATATACAAGGGGCAAAACCGTTGGCCCCATAGTGTCCCTTGTTTGGAGGTTCTACTAGAGCAAGACATTATTGCTGAGCGAAAACAAGTGCGAAGCTTCAGCTCAATTCAGATGACAAAGTGGGCTTGCTTTACACTCCAATGACTGGACACAGACCATATGTTACACAAATTGTAGCATGATTAACACCTTCACATGACCAACACCACTGATAGCTTTCAGTGTGACAGCAAGCATTGTGTGTTATGATGTGGAGTGAGGAAGAGAGGGAGAAAGAGACTTACACTCTCCACAAACTGTATGCTGGAGAGCATGAGGAAATCGTTGTAGACGTTGTTGACCCTCGTGTCGGTGGCCCTGGCCTCCCCTACAAGGGCGTCCACCTGCTTCTCTATCTCGTGCGTCTTCCCCACCATCCTCTGACTGAACTCCTTCAGGTGCAGCAACATCTGCAGCGGTGGAGCGAAGGAAAGGGGGGAGAGGAGTAGGAGAGAGAGAGAGAGAGAGAGAGAGGGTGGACACATGCTGATACAGCTCATTAATGTGTAACTAAAACCTTTCGCGAATTGAGTTAACCGCCAAAAAAGTTTTGCGAATGTAGTCAGCTGTGTCGGTAGCATACTGAAACATTTGCACTTTTGCCATTTTCTCAACACTTGCTAACTCAGTAGCTTTATTACGGTGCTACTGACAAAAGTGATGCCAATGTACATTGGACGATGGTATACACATGCAGATAGAACGTAGCAACACTCTCATTGTCAATTTGTCTTGCATAGTGAAAGTATGCAATGTGAGGGGAGAGATTAATATAGAGACAGAGCAGATGCAGCAATGAGGTGTACATACAATCTGGTTAGGTGTCTGCATGCGGTGCAGGACTCTGTACTAAAACCATGTGCAAACGCTTCATTTCGTCTACTCTGCCCATTCACATCTGTCCGGTTGATGTTCTACGCTACCACCACACACTAACACACAAGACCACACGTGTGTATGTAAGTAGTATGGTGTACGAGGCAATGTATGCGTGTAGAGTGTGTAACACTGTTTGGTGGCCATATGGATCGTGTTGACAGACTAGTGACAAGATGGGCCCAACAGGACTTGCCTTTGTCACCACCTGTCCCCCACTCTCTGTCTCTGCCTGTTACTACCTACTGCAGTTGTGTGTTACCTATACTCTCTGTAGCTGTTCTCTGAACACATTCACTCCTACTATTTCTTCTACCACCACGGCCCATTTGTCCTACACCAAATACACCAACTATACAGTGCTTTCAGTAGCTCTGGCTAATGTAGAGCACGTTGCTGGCAGTATATAACATGGGGTTTCTAAAGGCATTGAGGAAAGGTGTGTATGTAGCTGTCATTAAAGTGTTGGCTCTACCAATGATCAACATGCCAGCTCATACACTAATGCAGGGAGAGTTTGTTTCGGATGCTGAAATTCTCAACAGACAGAAAATGTCGAAGACTTTATAAAATTGCCACCTCTATAAGTTGAAAGATAATGGTCCAACATTAACCCTGATAACCCTACCTAGACTACTTGAAATGAGAGTCTATTTCACTATGTACATGTACTCAATTACCCATGGAGCCCTATCCACTGCTCCATTATCCACAGGGACTGTCTATGAAAACTGATGTTCGGACGTCACATATTATGAACAAAGCCAAAGCCACTCAAAGCACTAGTCGGTGTAGTACTTGGTAGAGGATAAAGTGGCAGATGTGGTAGAAAGAGGAGTGGTATGTGTTCACGTTTATTCAGAGAACAATGTATTATGTGTATAAAGGTGATACGTAGAGAGAGAGACTCACCCCAGCATCAGCAGCTAGAGTCCACTGTCCCGAGCTCTGCTTCATCTCCGCAACACTCCACGGCCGCTCCCACCTCTTCCCCCCTCTCGTGGGTGGCTCCACCCACCTCGTTAGCGGAGACGGCGGTGGCCGTGGCGACGTCGGGAGTGCTGGAGACGGCACTGGATGGCCGGTCGTGTACGGAGGAGGTGGGGGGAGGAGGAGGGGGAGCTGGGGGAGGAGGTGGTCCACCCTCTAGAGGAGGGGAAAGTGGTGGAGGAGGAGGAGGGGGAGGGGGAGGAGGGGGAGGGCCCGGCATCTTCTCTATGTTTGTGTAGGAAGAAGAGATCATCACAAGCAACAACAAAACAATTTTATTAGCCCCAAGCAGGAAAAATGTATCCTACACGTTGTAATTAAGCAGAGGAGGCCATACACTAGCTCTAGGTCAAACCGTGCTTGTCTAAACTATATAGTTATGTGTACCTACACACTTACGGGTCGGTTCAGACTGGGCTTCCACACACCCGTCAAAGGCTCTCCTACACGGTAAATATCAACTCCAGAGCCGGCTTCTGAGAGCTTCGGGTGACGTGTCTCTAGTTTGTAGCTCGCTGAGTCCCCCCAGTCTAGTCCAAAACGTTTCGTGTTTGCGCATGCGGACACGCCCCCTTTTGATGATCACATGATAATTTTTACATCGTTTAATTCGAGCAGGTTACGCAGATTTTCGGTCGGAAGTACTGCGCGTGCGCGACTTATGCAACGTTAACCACAAGTCATCTGTGTGGTTTCTGTTGCACACCTTAGAGAGTGACTATAAGCTTCATCAATCATTATCGGCTTTTCATAGTTCTATAGTCACTCTTCAGTAATGTCTGCTGTATTTGGAAGGGGAGGAATTCAAGCAGGAAAGCCGTACATTTGGGACACCCAAACATGTTGGCACGGCAGCCTTTTCAGTGGATGACATTCCATACCTTTAGGTGTACCTTACAACTACGCAGCACCCATTAGCACACATTGGAAACTATGTATATATACAGCGTGCATTTCAGAAGGTACCAGAAAAAGTTGCCGTCTGTCACAGTTCGATACATGGTCCTAATCTACTGACTGGAACATGGAGGTGATATCACCACTTGGACTGGACACTAATGTCGTCGTAGTGGGAGAAAAACTGAAGTTTTTCGTCTCGGGGGCCCAGGACGACTTGTATGGGTACGGGGAAGGAGACGATAGCCTCCCGATCACTGCAGTTTGCAGTCCTTCTTCGGCTGTGGTCAGAGTGGGGAAGCTGGGAGAAACCATAGAAGATGAGAGCAGTTTGCAAAACATGGTCAGGCTGCACCAACCTGCCAGGGACAACTTCCTGATTACCTTTCAGCCACAGGAAGAAGTCCAGTACTCTCTTGTGGTCAAGCTGAATAAAACCCACGTCCAGGGCAGTCCATTCTTAATAGTAGCTGTTTCACGTGGGGAGTCAGAAACCCATCTGGAGAGCTTACCATCAGTTCCTGCTGGAGAGCCTGTGACTTTTGCACTACCAATGAGCTGGAGGAGAGGGAGAGCAGTGAGCCCCACGGTGCAAGTGGGAGGACCTCATGGTCCCTGTGAAGTGATAAACAAGTCTGGAAACGACAGTCTCAGCTTCTTTCCCAACCAACCGGGAGACTACTTCATCTCTCTTCTCTCAAACTCGGGCGACGGCATCGAGGAGAAGTACCGCATCAGAGCCAAGACTGGGGACATGGGTGCCTCAAAGTGCTACGTGTTTGAATCAGACACGGATCTCTTTCGGAAGCCGGTTCGATTCAGCAGCGGCTGCAAAGTCTCGTTTCGTGTCCTCACGCACCTGGCATATGGGATGGGTCAGTTGAGAGTGGTGGCCAGAGGTCCCAGCGAGGCTAATGTCACAGTCAGTGAGAGCATTCTTGGAGAGGAGGAGGTCATCACGTTCCAACCCACCTCCCCTGGAAGATATACTCTGGATGTACTGTGGGGTGGATACCGCATTCGAGACAGCCCATTCTCCCTCCACTTCAAGAAGCCTAGGAATCCGGTCGAATGCAAAGGGTTGGATCTTGCCAAAGAGGTGATGGTTATTGGGATCCCGTACCGTTTCAAGCTGAGCTGCAAGGAGGGCAGGGAGAGAGACATTGAGATCTACTGCGTTCCACCATCAGCTGCTTCAGTCAGAGTATCGTCAGTCGAGAGCCCAGGGCTTTTCCTCTGCGAGATTATCCCTCGAGAGCCTGGAACACACCAGGTGTCTGTACAACTAAAGGGAACGCATCTGTCCGGGAGTCCGTTCATGGTCCAGTTCAGGCCTCGTGGGAATGCAAAGGAGTGTCGTGTGGAGGGAGGGGTACAGAGAATGCAAAGTGGACCAACGGCCAGGTTCTTTGTGGACACGGAGAGAGGAGGGGAGGGAAAGCTGACGGCTGTGGCGATTGAAGAGGTCACGAAGGAGAGAATGGCGGCTGTGGTGAACCGACTGGATGGAGGGAGACACGTGGTGGAGTTTACTCCGGAGAGAGGGCTGGAGTGTAAACTCGGGGTACTCTACGACGGTCAACACATCCCAGGCTCCCCTTTCCCTCTCCTGTTCCCTGGGGCTGCCTCCTTCTCTGTCCACGGAGACGGAGTCATTCGAGCCACAGTCAACCGGTGGAGTCTCTTCTCAGTTCGCAGTGTCAACGCAGATCTTGGCGTATTCTCTGTCTCCATCGAGGGCCCGGGGAACATTAACGTGGTCCCTACAATCACTTCAAGAGGTGGCACCCTCTTTGACGTCCGCTATCTCCCGAGCGTTAAAGGGGAATACCTCATCTTTGTGAGGTGGGGAGAGCACCAGATTCCAGGTAGTCCGTTCTCTGCCCAGTGTTTCGGTGAAGAGTCTCTGTCGCACTTTACCATCTGGAGACCGAGCAGTCGAATCCCTCACAACACTCCCATAGAGTTCACCGTGGAAGACGGGAGGACCGAGAGAGAGAAATTAAAGGACAGAGCCCATCTTTGTGTCGAAGCCAGAGCTCAGCATTTGAGTGAAGTGCTCACTGCTTCGACATCGCGGGACAATGATGGAAACATCTACTGTCAATTTGAGCCTCCAGATCCAGGGAATTATACGGTGACCGTGACTTGTCGTGGCGTGGAGCTCCCGGGGAGTCCGTTCAAGGTCACCATGCCTTCTCTGCCACGGGCAGAGAGGGTGAGGGTGTGGGGAGAGGGGTTACTGGACCATCGGCTGCCTGGCCCAGGGCGCTCCAGCAAGTTTACCGTGGACACCACGGACGCCGGATCTGGGGTCCTGGGAATAAAGGTGAGTCAGGAATCTGTGTCAGATGTCAGGCTTCAGGGGTTTTCCACCAGGATGCAGAGATGTGCCCCTATTTCCCTATCATAATGAGGGAATCACCTTTCAACAATAGCTGTAGTAATCCACAAAGAGTTTTAAAGCTGGCCTATAGACTTTGTTGCAGCAAAATGCCATGGGACTGGTTGGTAGGGGCAGTGTAGTGTGTGACTATCACACTAAGGCAATAATGTTGGGCTCTTGATTATGAAAGGTGCTTCGCTAGGAGTAATGAAACTTGATCCTTATGTTGTAAATTAATACTTTCCCTTTCATGAGAGTTGATAGCTACTCATCATCATTCCCCTACGTATATCTATCCAGGTGCATGGACCTAAAGGAAAGTTCAATATAACAACAGAGAAAGTTGCTAGCGATCCACGTCGAGTACAGATCAGCTACCACCCGACTGACGTGGGGGTCTACGTCATCGAGGTAATGTGGTCTGAAGCTCCTGTTCCAGGCAGTCCTTTCTCCATCAACATCTCCCAGTCCAGTCCACGCCACACCAGACAAACATAGTCCATATTAGGCTTGAGTTTGTGTTGAGTCTTGTTGATTTTTGTGTACCGCCATTTCCGTGTTTGTGTACCACTGCCTTTGATGGGCACCATAGTATACAGTGTTTGTTTGCAGACACCATCTGTGCACTGTGAGTGTCATGGACATTCACTTTACACAGGAGCCCACAATAGCTCACGAGGAAGACTTCATAGTCACAAAGCTGAGAAGAATCCATCTATTGTGGCTTCCTCAAGTCATTACTAAAGCACGGAAGCCAACTCTCTGACATGCGCATGACACGGAGGCGCCTTTTACACGCATGCGCAAACTGACCAGTTGACGTCACAGAACAAAGTAGGTGTGGTTTAGCCTGTGACTTGAATAAGTGCGCACCAGTCGACATGGGAGGCAGCGAGTCGTCCTTCAAGCGGAACTACGAAGAGACGGTGTCACAGCTGTCCACCGTGCAGCTGAGGGAGATCACCACCCACTTCCACGAAGTGTACGCCAAGGCTGGTGGGTCCAAAGGTCACCTGGTAGACCGCGAGGCCTTCTCACAGTACTTCAAGTTGCCGGTGTCAGTTGGGGAGCGATTGTTCGAGGCGTTTGATGCACACAGGGTACGTTTTACTATAGATTACTAGCTGAACAACTAGCTAGAAGATTACAAACCAAGACTACTAGAGGATTACTGAAAGTTTACTAGAAAATTACTGGGGAAAATGTTACTAGCTGAACGACAGCTAAGTTTTGAGTTTCAACTAACCTAAAAGTGAGTTAGGGAATGGGAAAGCTTGCTGCTGTGATAAACCTTTTATATTGTGGCGCCGAAGGATGCAGACAATGTGTCCGTACGTCATCCAATATGCAACGTTTTACATTGAATTAGAGCGTTAATGCAATAGTGTGTTGAGTGGGGTGAAAGTGATCATACGTTGTGTGTCTCTTTAGAACGGGAAGATAAGTTTCGAGGAATTTGTGTGTGGTCTGGCAGTCCTTCTCCATGGCTCCTTCTCCAGCAAGTGCCAGCTCCTATTCCAGGTCTTCAATATCCATGGAGACGAGGGTGAGCTCTCGGTCCTGGAGTAGTCATAGATACTGTACCTCACAGAACACTCATTGAGGTGGTGACTCATGTTGGGTAACTGGTGGTGTACATACATAATGGTGAATCGTTAAATTTCCTTGAAATAGAGAAAGAAGCTGGTGTGTGTTGGATGGTTTTTGCAGCTCTTGAAGTTCCTGAAACTAGTTGCATACAATCTGTTCGGTTTTATCATACCTGAGATTTTTGGAGCTATTTTTCATCATTCTTTTCAATTAGAAGGCCTATGGAGGCGATAAAATAATTGTCGTTTTGCATGTTAGGGGATCAGAAATATTCCCACTATCTCTCCAAAATATGTGGTACTATACGTTGTGTACAAATCTTGATGTTAGGTTCACTGCGTGTATGTGTGTGTGTGTGTGTGTGTGTGTGTGTGTGCAGGCATCAGTCGAGAAGAGCTGGCTACAATGCTGCACGCCATCCTTCAGTCTACAAATACCATTGTCATGGCCGTCTCCCAGATGGGAGGAGGAGGAGGAGGGGGAGGAAGGAGTGCGGTGATGAAGGGAGAGGACAGGGAACAGGCCATAAGAGCCATGGTGGACTCTGCCTTCCGCAACTGTGACATCACTGGGACTGGCAAACTACTGCCTCTGGTAAATAATACTCTACGATTTGCTAAATTAGTGTGTTCATGTGTGTAAGTTTTCTATGGGGTACTAGTGAATATTATGTACAGGCTAGTACTGCATTATTGTAATGTAAATTTAATGTGCTGGTAAAGTAAACCCAACAATCTTGGTGTGTGACTGTATGCTATTGTGTTTCGCTGCAGGAGTTTGAGTATTGGGTGAGGAGACACCCGCAGATCCTGGACACTCTCCTCTCGTTCGAGCCTCGTGAGAGAAGGGGCACCCTCGGTCCCCTCCTCCTCTCCTCCGACGAAGGCCGCTTCACCTCCGACCCCACAATCTCCGTCCCCCTCCACCCCTCCCCACTCCCACCCCTCTCCTCCTCCCCCCATCCCTCATTCCTCCACCAGCGCATCGCTGGAAGTCACCCACTCTCCACACATCAGAACCATCCGCAGCGAACCCGTCCTCGTCACCACGGTGACCGATAAACAAATCCCACCGCCATTAGCACCTGGTACTGACACGACTGACCCACTCGTACCAGATGAAGTGAGGGTTTCAACAACTCCAGTTGTCGTCCAGATCAGAGCGAGTTCTCCAACTTTGGTACCGGAACCAGACTCTCCTCTGGAGACTGGGACTGATGTACCTAGTCACCATGGTGATCATCAGGACAAACATCATGTGAAGTTTTTCACCGGTGATGGAGAGGAGGAAAAAGAGGAGGGGGAGAGGGGAGATGACGTAATTGCCGAAGAGAAGGGAGAAGGGGAAGGAGATGTTGTTGGAGAGAAGGAGAATAAAGCTCTTGATTTTGTGGGTGGGTTACATGAGGTCAATGTGAATGAGGTGGTGGTAGAGGGAGAAAGAGGAGGAGGAGGAGGGGAGATTCAGGCTGGGAGCATCATGCAGAGTATGGAGACCATCACCGGAATGAACTTTGACCTCCCCGAGGCCCCACTGCAGTCTCACTCCAGCACACCCACTTCCCCGCTGCTGCCCACTACCATGGAAACGGTTGCCCTGGGAACCCAAGACGTAATCGAGGAGGAGGTAATGATTGTCGGAGAGGAAATGGGGGAGTCCCTCCAATTGCCAGAAGAGCTGAGTGCAGTAGGAGGAACGCCGCTACAGTTGAACGAACCAGCCAGAACCGAAGAAGAAGAGGAAATGAATACCGTGGGTGGGCTTCAATTGGAGATGAATGGGCTCAAGTCACAGGGCTCTGGAGGGGATGGGGCGCATCTCCTGGATGTGAGGGAGGCTGGAGTTGGTCCTCCATCCACCTCCCCTCTCTCTCCCCCTGCTGTAGAGGTGTCCTCCACTCCATCTGCCATACCCACTCACCTCTCCGACCCCCTCATCTCCCTCCCTCTCCCTCCTCCCCAATTCACATCCTCACATCTCCACGGAGACGGGGAAGAAGAGTCCCAAACTCTAGGCGGAGAAGGAGTGGGTGATATTGGTCCGGAGCCCAGGGTTCTCCCCCCTGTCCCATCGCCCTACCCGGAGGAGGTGGCAGGAGTGAAGGAGGCTCTGTACACGGCCTGGGTCCCGAGTCCCTGGACTCTGGGGCTCCTGTCTCGCCAGACACCAGTGGACCAGTCTCACCTCACCTGCCCCGGGCTGGTGGCAGACATCAAGATGGTCAGAACTAAGGGAAAGTGTGGTTCAAACTCTCTTCTCTGTAACTCCTTTCATTGCCTGCTGCCCTGTTGTCTTCGTCTCCGAATGCATCATGTAGCGTATGTGCGCACATGTTACAATGAACTGCATGCTGTGTGTTCTTGATGCAGTACACATAAGTTACGTGTAAAACGTGTTTACCTCTGCTCTCTCTCCCTCCCCTCAGCACGATCCAATAGCAGAGTTGCTGGCAGCCCATTTCCCCGCAGAGTCCCGCAAGACTCTGCCATCAATGGAGAGTGTTGCCATGGACATGGCCGGCCTCCGCAGACTCGTGGTCAGTTGTGTACATCTCAGTTTATAACAAAATCTACAGAACAGTCAGAGGATCGAGTGTGTTGAATTCTTGTGAATGCATTAAGCAGGAATGAAACTAGACCTACACTTTCGAACACCAACTTTTGCTGTGGTGTGTGAGTTGTACATACTTCGTGTGTTCACATGTATGTAGGTCAAAACTTGTCCCATTGAAAAAAGTGTTTTCTGCTGTTTTTACATTACATGTAATGTACCTGCCCTTGCTTTGCTTCATGACCTCGTTTTCGACAAGCATCTGTAATTCAGTAGTCTTTGTTTTCAGTCGCAGAACACACAGTCTCTCTTCTCTTCCCTACCACAGAGAGAGGGATGCTACCACGCAGCACTGGAGCTAACTGGGAGGTTCCTGTCGGCTCACGGTCAGGGTCTCGGTCAGGCCGGCCAGCCCAGTCTCCACACACACAAGACCCTACAGGTACTCCTCTCCTGGACACGTAATGCACACATGATGTGCCGCTGGAGTGGGTCAGGTTTCGTAGTGCAAAGACTAGGATCAATTGACCTGCAGCTAAAGAAAGTGCACCTCTCACACTTTTCTATGCATATTATGATGAGAGTTTTGCCTGCCCAATTGTCTGAATTGCACCTTTTTTCTGTCCATACTGAAATGATTTACTCACGTTCGTTCACCATTTAGTGAGTATGATGTGTGGTATATACATAGGTGTTAGTGATATGTGTGATATGTGATACAGGTGAACTCTAGTGGTACAATGTACATGTATAAAGCTGTCCTAGTGAGGCTGTGTGTTGTACTGTGCAGATGTGGGGAGCGAGACTGGCTCTCCTGGTGGTGATGCAGCAGTTCAGGGAGGCCGAGGTCGAGATGGAGGCATTTGGCGAACTGGTGAACCCTGACCTCTTCTACATACCACACCACAACTACACCGACAAGACCGTCAGTTCAACGCACTGAGCTGCAGTAGCAGTATCTTCTGTGTACTGCTTTCATGTAGTTGCTTGTGTGCTTTGTGAACCAAATCTCCTTACCGAGTGAAACTCAGGTTCCTCTGCCATAGGTTCTGCCCATTGCTCTGAGTGGCCAAAGTGCTATGGCTACCACATGAGTATTTTTTTACCACAGTATATACAGTGTCTCTCTCCCAAACCCTCAGGTAGCATGGTGCCATTCTCAATGAGACTGCTCCACGCTCAGCTGCCAGGTCTGACTGGAAACCATCACCTCTCCCCTGGACAGACTGTGCAGCTCAACACACACCTGTCACCAGGTCAGCCCCCATATAATATTACAAAAGAGTAGAGTGGCAAGTGAATCGGCTAATAGTGGTACTGTAAGAGTTACATACACGACATGACTTCATCACATTCATTGAAATTTCATGAGACTTTTCACCAGCAAATAGTCAAGATGCGAGAGTAGAAAATTGTCAGTACATTAGTCTTGTGTGTGGCTACGAAACTGAGAATTTCTTGCTCAACTATAGCACGTGTTGTGTGTACAGGTGCTGTCAGAGGTGAGGAGAGGCTACCTACCTTTTGTAACTGAGCCTCTCACTCCAGAGGACCAACAAGGTATATATATATACTGGTGTATGCAGGATATGCTGAATGTGAAACTAAAAGTACTGAATAACTACAGTTGCAGAGACTCTGTGGCTGGAGAGACTCACCAGAGTAAAGTTCTGTCTGGCTAACACACTGGTAGCCATGCAGGTAAGTACTTTTCACACACAACAGAAGGGAATTGACTTCGAGGGTTTGCCCATCTGAAAGGGTAGAAAGTGATGGGAGGGATTGAGCAAAATTTAGTGGTTTCTGCCTTGTGCCAACAGGAAGGTGGCATTACATAAGGCCAGAAGTATCAATAGGACCCAGTGCAGTAGGTTTGTGAATTCATCCTTTATGTCTACACTGCCACACTCAGTGAAGACTGAAAGTATATACAGTGTCCTCTCTCTCTGTTTTGTACGGACTACCTGTTGGCAGTAGAGGTGTCTGAGGGTCTGTTGGATGAGCTGCCAGGGCTGAGGAGCCAGCTGCTGTCGGTCATGGGGCGACTTCACCTGACTCTGGGTGACCTGCCTTCTGCCCAGACACTCTTCTCCCTCGCTGAGGACAGAGACGAGAAGGAGGAGGGGGAGGAGGGGGGGGAGGAGAGGATGGTCAGGACTCACATCAACCAGTGAGGACTCACTACACACATGCTGTATAGCTACACAAGCGAATTGCTCCTTTGAAGACACTTGACTGAGATAAACTGCCAAATAATAGAGTTATTCCCTTGTCGGTGGCACATGAAACAGAAATGATGGAAGCCAACTGAATTGGGTCTTGTTGCTGTGTGAGCCTGAATCTATTGCCTCTATAGGCTTGTGGCTGAGATACATGGCACATCGTATCCAACAGTTGTTATGTCAACCTTTACGGTGTTCTATATATTTCTGTAGTCTTTCATTCTCCTCCCCCTCTCTCATCTTCCTCCAACGAGGACTAAGTGAACGGTTTCTTGGTCTGTGTCACTGGCAACTGGCAAAAGACTCTTTCGAGAGTGCACTCCAATTGGAGCCCACCAACACGACTCTGAAGAACAACATTGCTGTGTGTACCTTCTACCAGGGATACCTCAAGGAGGTCAGTGTCTCCACACATATAGTAGCACATAACAATAGGGTTATTACTGGAGTCCAAGTAATAAGGCACTACCAACTTATGGTAAAGTGATGGTAGCGAGTGAGAGGAGATTCAAGTTGACAATTGAGCATTCAGTAGCCAAACGATATGTATTTCAGTCCATGAGCCTTCTTCACCTTTATAGACTGTCCACACACCAAAATGTCATAGACATGAAGCTTGGCTACTGAATGTTAAGTTAGCACAGAACTTGAACATAACAATCAATGATGTAGTGTGTCCCTTCCCGCATGTATCAGAGAGTTGGAAGATGGTGAGATGGAGTCCTCCTCCCCCTCCAGCCTGTGCCCTCCTCACCAACCTCACAGCGACCTACGACCTCGAGTCTAGCTCCGCCCACTCCAAGACTCTCCTTCCTCCCGCTCTTGGACAACATTGGGAGAGGGGTTTCCCCTCTCCTCTCTTGGTCTTAGATGAGACTGGACATGCATTAATGTGTGTGTGTGTTTGAGCATGTGCAGATAATTCGCATAATGTTGATTCTGTCAGACTCATGTTTACAATAGAATAAGAATGCTCTTGTTCTTAGATGATAAACAGACAGACCGTAGGGCAGCTACATATTATGTCTGATTCTGTGACTCTTGAATAGTGTGTCCTTTTCATTGATCACTCATCCGTCGACCTTTTCTTGGATTTGAAGGTTCTGCCTCCCTTCTTCGTTTCATTCCTGTCTTAGCTTGTGGTGGGGAAGCTGAGGAAAATTCTACACTGAATTTTGATTCTCTGGAATAATTGTATCTCTATATACCTGCTGTATCCATTGGAGTGACTGTCTCCTTCACTTCCAATTGTTCTGGCCTCGAGACCTACACAGTTGGGAAACAAGTGATATAATTATGCTGTAAATCAACACTAGTATAATCTACCATCGCTTGATGCTCTGTGTCTCTGTTCTGATGAACAAGTGCATCCTGTGGGTTGGCTAGAGACACTACCGGCACATCTTTTTCTTTGGAGAACTGTTGGTCTTGAGAGGTATCTCTCTCTGGTACGCCCATCACCTGTGTCACTAGAACATGTGTGTGTATTTAAAGAGTACAGTTAAACATTATTAATCACCATGCAAGGCATTCTTGGTGAGCAAATCAGTTTTTTTCGTGTTTACATATAACATGACGGTATGTGAGTGCAGGTCACCAACAAATTATACACCCTGCATTCACGACCTTGTACATGTTCTCAGTACTCGGTCAGACTCTAATCTATCACATCGTCTACCACACACAACACACATCCCACCAGGTTGCATTATAGCAACCAAGAATACCTCGATCAGAAGGTGAAGAAGTCCAAAGTATTGCTCGATTCTCTGGCAAGAGGGCTCAGCTGGACATCTCTGAAACCAGGGCCATTTTCTTCCATGAGTGGTCCTCATTTTTCTTGTATCCATCTTTCATTTCGTCCTGACAGCCTCACTGGATTACTGAGTGCAGTTTGTTGTATACTCGTGACTATGTGCCCCAGTGTCATCTTTCATAAGGATGGTTCCAATGTCTCGTATTTCTTGAACTTCTTTCCAAGACCCTTATGCGGCGCCCTTTAGAAGTTGATAGCTTTATATCAGGTCTCCCATTACAAACATTTCCTGCAATGACACAAAGGTGTATCCGTTGGCTACAATACACTGCAAATATCGAGTGATAAAAATGCAGGATCAAAATTACATGTTAGTGGCACCTGAACTTTGCCACTGCTCTTTGTATTACTTATTGTGTCAACTCCTGCCTCTCTGATGTTCATCTGGAATGTGATGACAGACTGACTTCACACCTATAAGAGAACAGTTTTAGGTTTAGGTTTAGTATACGAGAACAAAGGACTGCTTTCAATACGAGTTATGAAAGTATCCTGACAGGTTTTGGTGACAGGGGAAAATGGAGATTGAACTGACCAATGTCTGCTTTTTGGGTAGATCCCGAAGAACA